AATGAAGCAAAATAAAGTGACTCAGGAGCACATTGCTCCTTACTACAGCACAACAGAAAAATACAGTACGAAGACAGAAAAATAATCTCTGGTACCTTTCTTTCTTGAGGCCTGCAATCTCTGAATCCCTCCGCCCAAGCTCTATTTGTACTTTTTCCAGAGCACCTTGCATCTTACTGTGAGAAGCCAGCACATTCTCCAACATGATTGTAACTTTGCAGTTGTCTTCTTTGGCTTCTGCCAATTGTCGCTGAAAGTTTCCCACCTAATAGAAAATGAAACCAGATAAAGATATTTGATTATTTCTGATTATTCTGCTGCTGCTGAGTCTCATTATTTCTAGGAAAAAGTATGGAAACCAGGCATGGTAGAATGCTAATAATTAAAGTCTATTTACTTTTATTTTGTTTTATTGTGACTTTAAGAAAAAGAAAACTAGACCCCAGATCCTATGAAGAACTCTGCAGTGCTTCCCAACTATTGTCATGTCACAGCACATACATTAACTGGAGACATCAGGATCAACAACTTCTTAGGTCTAGAGGTGGTCCCAGGCTGGCCTGCTGTGGCCCTGGTCAGCTATCTTATGATAGGGGCAGAAGAACAACACATCTGAAACTCATCAGAATTATCTCAGGAATAAAGACCATAAGAGAAAGTAGAAGCTGCTAAAGAACATAACTCACAGGCCTCTTCAGAAAGGCAAAATCTAGCACTTGGTATCAAGGAGAGGGTTGGGATGTGACTTCTATTTTGTTGGTCCCTCACCTTTTTGGACCAGGGACCAGTGCTCCTATGAGAATCTAAGACCTGATGATCTGAAGTGGAGCTGAGGCGGTGAGGCTAGCACTGGGGAGCAGCTGCAAATATAGATGAAACTTTGCTGGCTCACCCACTGTTCACCTCCTGCTGTGACACCTGGTTCCTAACAGGCCACGGTCCAGCATTGGTCCAGTAGAAAGCAGTTAATATCCCATTAATAAGGCATAAGTAGGCAAGTTATTACCAGGGTCAGATGTATTTCAACAGAAAAAAATCAGGAGTTTTAATTATTTTAAGACAGGAAGTTGAAAAAAATCAGGAGTTAACATGTATTTTTAGGGAAAAGATTTTAAAGCTCTTTTAAAGTTTTATTTAGGGAAAAAATCCTCCTCTGATTAATCCTCATTCTTTCTTACTAAAGGTACCAAGAAATGGAGGAACATGGCTTATGCAAGACTTCATAAGCACCTCAGCCCAGTAACAGACTTTCAGAAAGGACTGATGCCTTGCCTTCTTGTTTTCCCTGTCCTCCAAAGCCTCGAGGTCCCCTTTCAATTTCTGACTTTCTTTCAGTGCTGCATCACGACACTTCACTGCTCGTGAGAGCTCCTCTTCATTCTTTTCAAGAATGGATTTTACCTTAGTAGAAAAAAAAATGATAAATGACTTTTCCAAAGCACAATAAATCAACAATTAGAATATGACAGCAATTTAGAAACCAAACTTAAAATGCTGAATTAAATATGTTTATCTTCTATTATAAATAAAAAACTGATTAGCTGTTTTTCCCTTTAAAGAAAACTACATAACAAAAATAAATTTGTGTGAATAAACATGGGCAAACCTAATACATGTCGATCTCCATGAAAGTAAAGAATAAGGGATGAGGGAGCTAAAACAATGAATGTAACATGAAATGGTGGAGAAATTGATTATCATTGAATTTGAAAATATAATGTAAGTGCAAGAATAAAAGCAAAGATAAGTACTAAATAGTATAAAGAAAATAGTGTCACAGAAGAATAACTCCTAATCATCATATCAGAAGTATATTTTATATCTCTAAAACACTTTTAGGATATCTACAGAATCATTTTAGATATCTTCATACTATTTTAAATATTACTCTTTTCAAAAACATTTTATTTTGAAATAATTACAGACTCACAGGATGTTGCAAAAATAGTGCATAGTCCCATGTACTCTTCACCCTACTTCTAATGGTGACACCTTATATTGCTGCAAAGTTCAACATTAAAACCGGAAATTAACTTTGGTACATTACTGTTAACTACATTAACTGAACTACAGAACTTACTCATTTTTCATCATTTTTTAACCTTCATGCATCTGTGTGCGTACACACATGTAAGATTAGGTAACTTGGTCCCATCCACATTATTTACATGACCACCACTACCATCAAGACACAGAACTGCTCCAAAAGAATTCGCTTGTGCTACTTTGAACTCTTCCCCTGCCCACTGACAACCAATTAGTCCTCTATCTCCATAGTTTTGTCATATCAAGAATGTTATTTTAAATATTTTAACATAACTTTTTATAATACCTTCACATTCTTTTAAATAACTTCTCTGAAGTATAAATGACATACAATAAGCTGTGTATATTTAAAGAGTATAATTTTGACATATATAAACTCTTGAAACAATAATAAAGATAATGAACATGCCCACAATACCAAACTTCCCTTAGCCTTTCTGTAATCTCTATCACCTTCTGTCTCTCTTTGTTCCTATACCTCTACCCAAGGCAATCACTGATCTGTTTTCTGTCACAATAGTTTTATTTTCTAGAATTTTACATAAATTGAATAATATTGTATATACTTTTTTGAATGGCTTCTTTCACTGAGCATTATTCTGAGATTCATTCAATCTTTGGCATGTTTCAAAAGTTCATTCCTTCCTATTACTGAACAGTATCATATGGATAAATCACAATTCATCTGCTGGACACTTGATTTGTTTCTAGCTTTAAGATATTACAAACGGCTGTTGTGAACAGCTGTGTACAAGTCTTTGTGTAGACATATGCTTTCATTTGTCTTTGGTAGATACTTAGGAGTAAAATGGCTGGGTCATATGTTTCACTTTTAAAGAAACTACCAAACTATTTTCTAAAGAGGTTCTACCATTTTACATTCCCTTCAACAATGAATGAGAATTCCAGGTGCTCCACATCCTCACTAACACTTGGTATGATCAGTTTTTCAATTTCAGACGTTCTATTAGGTGCATGAAAATATCTCATTGTGGTTTTAATTTGCATTTAATATGTATTGTCCTATTGACCAATGTTTAACATCGTTTTAAGGGCTTATCTACCATCCATACATCCATACATCTACCTGTTCAAATACTTTGCCCATTATTTTTACTGAATTGTTTTCTTTTTAATTAGTTTTGAGTTTTTAAAACATTCTGGAAACAAGGGTTTTCCGTGGGATTTACTAATATTTTCTCCCAGTCCACAGCTTATCTCTTCATTCTCTTAACAATGTCTTTGAAGAGCATAAGCTCTCAATTTATCATTGTTTTCCTTTATAGATCATGCTTTTGATGTCAAATCTAAGGAATCCTTGTGGAATCCAAGATCACAAAAATTTTCACCTATGCTTTCTTCTAGAAGTTTTATAGTTAAGGTTTTACATTTAGGGCTCTGATCAATTTTGAGTTAATTTTTATACATGGTGTGAGGTAGGGCTCAAAGGTTTTTTGTTTGTTTTAGAATGTGGATATCCGATTGCTCCATCACCAATTGCTGAAAAGACCATTCTTTCTCTACTTTTGTTGAAAATGAAATGTTCATAAAATTATTTTGATTAGGAAGCACATTCATTTTATTCTTAAAGTACAAAAGGGTAAAGCAAAATCTCCCAGCTACCTAGTCTCCTTTCTCAAAAATAATGCTAATTAATTATGATTAATTTTAGAGATATTCTATGCATTTCAAATGATTATGTATGTATATATAGTTGACCCTTGAACAACATAAGTTTGAACTGTGTGGGTCATAATTTATATATCTATCTACAAGCAGTATTCACCATCATGATTTATTTAACCAGCCTCTTACACATAGAATTTTAGTTGCTTTCAGTCTTTTGCTATTAACAAACAATACCTCAGTAAGTACCTCATAAACATGTCATATGTACAAGCTAGTATATTTGTAGAAAAAAGTCCTAGAAATACAATTGTAAGGTGAAGTGTAAATTTTGCCAAATTGCTTTCCTTAGGAGTTGTACTATTTTATACTCCCAATAGCAACAAAAGTGTATTTCCTCCACATATTTCTCAACATTATTATACTTCCTTAAAACTTTTCACCTATAACATTTAAAATACTTTAACATTTTTTTTCTGTAAGGATTCAAGAATAGTACAAAGGATGCCAACCTTTCGTTCTAGATTTTATTCTAGAAAAGCACACAAGAAAGAATACAGCTGACCTTTCATGGGTTTGAACTGTGCAGGTCCACTTATACACAAATTTTCTTCAATAGATATCTGTATTCTTTTTGATCCATAGTTGGGAGTCCATGGATGCAGAGGGCCAATTGTATGCAATGACCTGTGCCATTTTATATAGGGGACCTAAGCATCCATGGATTTGGGTATCTACAAGGGATCCTGGAACCAATGCCTGATACTGAGGGATGACTTAAGTTTTGGGGGAATCAAAAGTTATGCACTGATTTTTGACTGCATGGAGAGTCAACGTCCCTAACCCCTGTGTTGTTCAAGGGTCAACTGTATAGTTTTTACAATTTTACCAGTGTTTATAAGATGTATATGTATATATATGTATATATGTATGTGTGTGTACATATATATGTACATATATATATATAAAATATATAAAAATGTTTCTGGATGTTACTACTTTTCTTGATTGTTGTCTAAGTCTGAAATTTCTTTAGATTTAATTTGTAGTCTTCACTTACCGAATCCCGTTTAGGAAAATTTGGTGACTCATCATTTATTAATGGTCTTGAGGCAAGAATGTCTATTTTACCTTCCAGTCTTCCCTCCATAGTTTTAATAGCATTCAAGAGAGTCTTCAGAGAGATTCTAGAGTCTCCAAGATCCTGAGAAGATCTCACAGAAGTCAGGGTAGGTGCAAAGGTCACATGGCGAGTGGAGTTTGGAGTAACACTGGGTAAACCAACTGATGAAGTTCTTTCCCTTATACTGGGTTTATAGCTTTCAAGAAATTTTGAAGATGCAGGCCTTTCTGGAGATTTTCTTTTTCTTGGAGGCATTACCAATTAAAAACAATAAAATCAACTAAACCTAGAGTTATTTTTCAAAGAGTGTTCCTTTTACTAGGAGAAAAAACACAATGTTCTATATGAAGCCACAAAGGAAAATATATGTGAAAATATGTTCCAGGAATCACACTGTAAAGTATGTCCTAGTGAAGAAGCAGACCTTAAATCAAATTCCCTGTCGGAGAGCGTATCTAATGAGGCCCACTTTACCAGTGTAATCAGATGGTTAGAACCCTAACAGTATTCCACTTGGAGACACATTCTGGTTCCTTAGTTGCTAAGGGTATACATATACAAATGTTATAGACACAGAAGTTACATATGCTTATATTGAGTGTTAATTTTTTTTTTTTTTACTGCATATATGGTAAATTTGTGAATCTCTTTCTGTAACACATTCCTGGATTATTTTCCTCACAAAATGTTTTATGTATCTTATTTATCTTTCTCTGTTCATTTGTTAAAATGTTATGTGACCTACAAAAGGCTTTCAATCTCAGTAGCCACCATGCTGACAAGTAAGCACCTGCTCTACTAATACTGCTTTCAAGTGAGCTGTCTGTTGCAGGTATATCTTGTTGGTACTGAGTTCTGAGTTTGCCTATAATTCAAAAATCAAAGATACTTGTTCCTCATGTTTGCCAAAAGTTTGAAGGCTCAAATTAAAAAACAATTTCCTCTATGAAAGCATTTCTCGATGCTTCTGTCATAATGTGCTCCCTATGAATGTTCATAAAACGATCTATTTTGTTTCTGAAAGACATAACTTTCTATTCTATAATAAAGTTTACTGAACACATTCCTAAGTCTCCAGTTAGAACATAAGCGAGTTGAAAGTCCCAATCCTGCTTCAGGTAACTTTATGAATTCCTCTATGGTTTAGCAGAGCCTTGTACATAGTGGATGTTTAAAAAATGCTTATTGAACTGAGTCAAGTGAGAGAATATTCATCTTTCTGGGCCTGTATGGTAAGGTGGGGAAAAAGGCATCAATTTCTTAAAAATGAATTAAAACAATTAAAAAGCAATCTGTTTGTAGATATTAATCACACCTGAGTATATTTGCCCTCTAGAGCCTTATTCAACTTGTGTAGGTGGTCATTCTGTGAACACGTTTCAGTAAAATAATGTAGCTGTTCTTCTAGCTGTTTAACTTTTATCTAGGAAAAAAAAAGCAATAATAAAAATAAGCCTCATTAATGAGATATATATATATTTATATACTCCAAAAGGAAACCCATGTCTTTAGTTTTGCAAAAAAAGAAAAAAAAAAATCCTTAAACTTGTAAAAAGAATTCTTAAGTTTTCCTAATCATGCAAAGAATGTTATTTCAAGTGAAGTACATCGGTATTTCAACAACTAAAAGTAGGCTATATCCATTTACACGCACAGAGATAACTCATTTGGTTTCTATTGCTCATGGAAACTCCAAATTAACGACTCATGAATATAGCAGTGAGACTTTGTGGGTAATAAATTTCAACTTAAAGAAATTGTGGTATAGCATTTGAAAACTCTTTTGAATATGGATAATTATATTGTTAACATGCAAGGAGAAAACATAGAATCCTGTGTTTTTATTGACAGAATTACAAAAGTTGAATAAATAAACAATTATATGTGAGTTATAGTTTAAAACTAACTCATAAAAACAACTACTTTTAGGAGAAATTTGACAAACTCTAGTGAAATTTAAAATATATACATCCTACAATACAGTAATTCTGTTAAGAATCAACTGGAAACTGCCTAAATATCCACTGACTGAAGAAAAGATAAATACATGTTAGTCTATTTATATAATGGAATATTATGCAGCACTGAAAATCAAATCTAAACCATGTTTGAATGTGAGGCAGCAGCTTCTGACAGTATACAGTAACACTTAAAAGCCAGTATTTATATTAATTATTAATTCTGAAAATGCAATCTTTTATCCAACATGATTCACACACGTAATATTTTTAATTGATTCTAATCCAATCAACAGAGAACATACTGTGGCCTATTGTTTTGATTATTTAATATGCAGCTCCTCCAAATTATCTTGCAAGAGTATGTGTTTTAAGAGCACTTTCTCCTGGGCTGATGCAGCCAATGCCTTTGGGATGTGCCAACACTAGCTTAACATACACCAGTGAATCAAAGTGTTTCAGCTTTCAAGGATGAAACACTTAACCAAAAATGTTAAGCCCTTATAAGAATATGAGCAGAAAAAAAGGCATGTATTTTCCTTAAGAGTGCGAAGATAACCTCTAATACAGTTAAGGTCTAAAAGATAAGAAAGGTATCAGACTGACGAATAAAACTTTGTATTCTATTTAAAGGCAAAAATGTATTTGATTTGAAGGCAAAATTTGGTGTTAAGGCTTATATATCTAGAAATATACTTCATTTTTTGGAGGGAAAGCTAAAAGGTCAATATAATGGATCACAGCTTCTATGGGATCACTACTGTCAAAGAGGAAAAGCTCTTCGGTGCCTGTAATAATCTATATACCCAGTCTGTAATGTTTGCTTTCTTTCCCATTGAGAAGTAAGAAAGAGAGGTGTGCTTACCCCCTCATTTTATAGGTCAATACGATGAAACTCAAGAAAATGAAAACTTGTCTAAGGTCACAAAATACAGTTGATTATATTTAAATGTATCACTGCTTCTGGAAAATATTAATTAAAAACTCATATGACCAAATAGCTTTATCTTTTTATTGGACATACTATTTCACAAGCATGGTTTATCAACTGCCCATCAGATAGCCTGCCATTTCTGGCCCAATTTTGTCTGCTAACCCTATGGTAAGACCCTTGAGCAGATGAAATGAGGTTAATGCTAAAGTCTTTGGCAAGCCTCAAGTGCAATTACTTATCAAATCAGCTCTATAGTTGCCAAGCATAACTGGACCTCACCCCATACCATTTAGTCTAGTGGTCTTCAACTATGGTATCACACTGCAATCAGTGGGTAACTTTGAAAAAGTATTGAAGCCTAGGACCTACTTCCAGAGAGTCCGATTTAATTGCTTGGGGGTAACAAGCCTTCTCATAGGAAGATTCCTAACATTTTATTACAAAAAAAAAAAAAAAAAAAATCAAATATACAGAAAAATTAAAAGAATTTTACTGTGAACGTGTATACACCCACCACCCAAATTCCACCATTAACATTTTTTGAATACTTGCTCTTTACATATCTATCCATCTATCATTTCCTCTATCCATCCATTCTTTTTTCAAGATTATTTCAAAGTAAGTAGGAGACATCATACACTTCTCGGCATGAAAAGTTTTTAAAACTCTGAGTCTTCCGTGCAGCTAAGGCAAGGTACCACTGATTCTACTGGAGTTGGTTTAAGGCAGGCCTAGCCACATCAGCGGCAAGCTTCCTACTCTGTGGGTACTGTAGGGAATAGAACCCAAAGGCAACAGAAAAGTAGTATCCCATTTATTCAGGTCTATTCTATTGCCCAAGAGTCCTGATTTCTAGGGTTATTTCTTTTTAGGAATGTTATAAAAATTCAGCCAAAAAAAAAAAAGAGAGAGAGAACATAGGATCTCTACTTTCTCAGTGAATGACCATGCGTAAAACAATCACAATAAAGCTTTGGACAGTCAAAAAAATGGCCTTTGGCTTCACAATTTGAGGTTTCAGCAGTATATTATAGGTATGTAAATGTAAATCACCTAGGTTTTAATATGGTAACAAAGTTAAGGAGGTCCAAAAGCTTATCCAAAGTGAGAATTAGTAAATGACAGAGCTAGGTCCTCTCAAAATCAAGCAATATTTACTTTGACAATTGACATTAAAAAATTAGACGATAAAAATCAGAAAATAAAATCCCATACCTGGAGTTTTCCTTTTTCATAGGCGAGTTTATTTTTACTTTCAGTAATTTTTCCCAAGACAGTTTCCACTTGCTGTTGGGCAAGCTGATAAAGCAAACACAGGTATCAGTACCTCCAGGCAGAGAAGAGAATAATCATTTTCCTTTTTAAACAAGTATTTATACCCTTACCATTTCTATAGTAATGAAACCAGTATTCATATTTATTTGCTAATACCGCCTCTTAGTCTTTCCCAAGACAGCCAATCATAGTGCTAATAAGCAACATGTAAGGAGCCTACTAGTGAAAGTATGAGTGCCTTAACAGTCCCAGTTTACTCTTATTAATTCTATTTTTTATTATATTAATAATCCCTTTGTAGTTGCAATCCAATCTAGATGTGGAGTGGCTATATCAGATATACAGTTTGAGGATTAAATACTTCTTGAAGAAAACAGGAGTACAAATGATCACAACCATTCAGACAGCTTGTTACCACAGTAAAAGACAGTTACAAAAATCTCTGAAAAAAAACATTTGTTGGAAACTCACCGATCAAACATTCAACACAGTGTTTTCTGGGACAAATATTACCGAAGGCTCTATATGTCATGAAATTACATATTTTCATCATTCAAACAGCCTTTAATAATGGCATTTTTTCCATGTCTTTTGCCTTAAACTTTGTCAGAATAAGAATACAGTTCCTTTGATTAAATAGTGGGCCTTATTGTTACTTCAAGAACATGAGTGATTGAATGGAAAATTTCACCCTACCACAATATTTTAATAACAGGAAATATTGATATTTGCCATACGTCAAAATCATCTTCACGAATCAACTGTGGATATATCACAGACACAAGCAAATGTGACGGAGAGCACCAACTCTTAATCACTCAGGCTGACTAGCTGCACTATAGATTATCTGCAGTGAGTCTGGAATTTAAAATCTTGGTAAATATTGACATAATTCACTATTTCTGGCTTACATTTGCTTAGTCTGTGAGTAACAGAATAGAGGGCTTTGTAAGCATTTAAAGCCAAAGAATTTAGACATTTGTTTTATGTTCAACTTTGGGCAAGCCGATAAAGATGAAACCACATATGTAGGGATATTAAATTATGTAAAAGATAATCCTTACTATCTCTGACAGTTATAGCTATTCTTTACTCATCACTTTGTAGGGCACTTTATTTCAAGTATTGTGAATCCAACACAATTGTAACACACAGATATAGCATATAAAACACAAAGAGCTAGATTTAATCTAAAATATGCCAGCTACAACAAATATTCAACATTCAAAAATAACTGTTTGCCTTCTTGAAATGTGGAAAGGTTTTTTATGGAATAATTTAGATAGTTCGCATCTCTTTTAAAAGGTGTCTATGAATTTTTTAAATAATGACACTTTTCTCAATAAAATTCTCTTTTAGGAAAAAGCATAAAGGAATTCTATTAATATTTTAAAGCCATTTAAAAAATAATTTCCTTTTCGCCATAAAAAAGAATGCTAATGCAATAAGTGACAACTATCCCACAAAATCAAAATGTGTTAATATTTGACACAGTGTCACTTATTTAAACTTATGACCAAAAAAAAAAAGAAAAATTGTTTCCAGTTGCTAAAGGAAAGTAGATATTAAGGTAGTAACTTAAATTACTGTTTGTACATTATTTAAACAGGTCCCGTACTTAAGAGAATCAATGGAAGACCAGAAATTAGAGGCCACTTAAATGAGTAATAGCTTAGACTCTAAATTCTGAAAGGCAGAACTCAGATTAACCATTGCTTAAATAATCTAGGCAACATACTATAAAGATTATTAATATGTAGAGCAAGGCATAAACTGGAAAATCACCTGGGAAACAGAATACAGAGAAAAATTGAAGTGGTTAGAATGTACATTTTAACTCAAACACAAAGACGTTACTCCTTGGAGAAGCATGAAACATACCCAATTATCTTAAGGTAGGAAAGGCAGGTTGCCAAAGAAAGCCACAAAATGATTTCTAAAATCATTTTTAAATCTGGGTAAGTTGTAAAAGTTAGCCAAAGCTGTTAGAAGAATACCTAAAACCAGCAGATAGTGGCATCTTGGTAAAGCTATTTTATAAGACTGTAAGAAGGTTTTTAATTCAAAATATTTAATAACTACTATGACATAAGTCCCAGCAGATGGAACCAACTTTGACGACACCTGCATGGGTGTACACTGACTGAATGTCATCCTGGTTTTAAGATTTAATTCAGTTTAATTTCAAGTCATTAACATCTTAGTTGTATAGAGAACTATATTTCTGTCTGTTGGTACTATTTGAAATGTTTAAATCCCAAAAGAAAAGTGGGAAGGGTAGTCAGTTAACTTGAAATCAGGCACAGCAACCTTCCCACATTTGGATCTTTTCTGAGGTTCCCTGCACGACTACTTGTGGTAATGGACTTAAATTACACCATTATTAAAGGCTGGAATAGTAAAAATTAAATTTAGGAAGTATGCGAATAAACAAGAGAATAATATTTATCCAGGGATACTGTATACTAGGTCCTGTGATGGGCACTTTAGATGCAATATGACATTTAATTCTCAGTCTGGCAAGACAGACATGACCTTCTTTGTGTTCTACTTAACCAGTGTTTCTTAAACACCTATTATGTATCAGGCACTATGCTAGGCAAGGGAGTATAGAGATTAGTAACTACTGTTGCATTAAGAGAGAGTGAAGGCAGATGCATAAACAGGTTAATCTGGAGAGGATCCTTTGGCAATGAAGGCCATAGAGGTTAAGAACCTGCACAGGTCATATAGTAAATGGAGCCAAGGGTTGAAATCAGGACTATGGAGTTCAAATCTGTGTGTGTGTGGAGGCAGGGGGCAGGGTAAGGAGAGGGATACACATACGCAACACATAGTCCTATGTGTATCTCCAAAAATCAGTAGGAGGGTAAACTAGAAGGTAGCCAATTTAAACGCTTCCAGGTAAGCTTGGTCAGAGATTCTCTGTGGAGACACAGATCTACGAGCTGGAGTTGAGGTGGGGTTTATCACTGGGAGCCCTTAATCAAGAGGTGTGGTCTGCAGGCAAGAACCAACCCTGATCAAACCAATGGCAAGACCTGTCAAAGTCAGTAACAGTAAGGCCACAGACCTGTTCACTGGCAGTGGGGACATGAAAGAATCAGGCAGACTGAGATGTGGTTTTCCAGAGGGGTAGATAAACCCAGCTGAGGGCTGGCCAACAAGCAAAAGACATGCATGAATCTTTAATCTCAGGGGAGTAAGGGTTGGTCTGATATAGCACCAGGAATTAGAGTTAATGTATCTTGTCACTCCAATAGGAACTTAAAAGCTTTTGTTTCTGGGTCAGTTCAGATACCAAAATTCAATAAATGTTAGCTCTCTGCTACATGCTCAACATGTATCAACTTAATTCTCAAACAACCCACTAATAGTATTATTATCCCCATTTTAACAGATTAAGAAAACGAGGCTCATGGAGGCTAAGGATCATACCCAAGATCACAGCCAAAACTGAAACCTAGGCAGTGTGGCTCTAAAGCTATGAAAATGTAAAAGGATTTATACTTACTCTGTGTAATTTTTCATAGTTGAAGTAATGAGCAGCTTATGACATAGTTTGAGAGAATTTAGCTCAGATTAAGATGGACTTACATTAGGGCCTTCTATGGAATTTTTAAAGGTTTGCATGTTACAGAAGCAATAACTGATTTTTTTTTCAAATATTCAAGAGCACATAGGAAACTTATTAGCTGCTTAACAGACTAATCATCTCTTTAAATCCTCTTTACTTGGAAAAGATGTTTTAAGAACTCTATCATTTATCTGTAATGAGCTGACCTTGTTAAATAGCTTGTAGAAATCAAACTTACTACTACTGATTATTTAATGGAGGAAACTGTCAAGGTTAAAAAGGAATAGTTTATGGAAGAAGAAAAAAATTTTAAACGTTAGAAATATTTGTCCTTTTTAGCATTATAGATTATCTGTGTAGGCAGATATTTAATGGCTCCCTTAAATTCTTGTTTTCTTAAATCCTCTATTGTGTGAATGCTGTAGAGATTTCTGGCATATTTAGCTTGAGTTATTCAGGACTTATGGTAATTATTAAAACACAAACAACTGAAGAATATCCATCTCTTGATTTCTGATTTTTTTTTTTAAACTCAGTCATTAATTCGTACTTTAAACTGACCTTTTTATACCCACCCCATGGTAATCAGAAGTTTCTTGCTGAAGTTCCAGAGAAGTAATTTGATCTGCTAGGTGCTTATTCTTTTCTTCTAGAGTCTGTAGGCTCTGGGTTAATGCATTTATGTCTTCCTGTGAAAACCAAAAGGAGAAAAGGAAGTTATTTACTATCTGTAAATAGATAAATACATCTATGTCAGATCCAAAATTATTATCTTACTTTAAAAATGACATCTGTAACTATAAAATAGAAGATATCTTATGAACACATTCCCCTGCCTTTATATTTGGGGATTTTCTACCTGATAGCTTTATGATTTTTTTTTATGATTTTTTTTCTTTCCTTTTACTTTTTTTTTTAGCTTTTCTAGTTGTCTTCAGGAGGGTTATTATAAATTACATAGTTCACGTTTACTAAAAAAATTTCTACTAAAATAAAAGTCCTTCTAGTACTTGGTATTTAAATATTAATTCAAGTTGATGAATTTAGATGCAAAAGTCTTCCACAAAATATTAGCAAAAAAAATCCAGCAACATATAAAAACAATCACTAATCAGGACCAAGTGAAGTTTGTCCTAGTAATACAAAGCTTGTTTAACATTCAAAATCAATTTGTATAATTCACATGAATAGACTACACGAGAAAAATTAAATGAGTATCTTACTAGATGCAGAAAAAGCATTTCACGAAATTCAACACTGATTCAAGATAAAAACTCAACAAATTAGAAATTAAAGAGAACCATCTTTACCTGATAAAGTGTATCTATAAAAATCGTACAACTATTATCAATCCTAATGGTGAAAGACTGATGTTTTTCCCCTAAGACTGGGAAAAAGGCAAGAATATCTGCTCTCATGCTCTGTGCAACATCATACAGGAGGCCATAGCTGGTGCAATAAAGCACTAAAAAGTAATAAAAGGCCCAGAAATTGGAAATGGAAAAATAAAACTGTGTCTATTTATACTAGACATGACTGTCTACATTGAAAATCCCCCCAAAATCTACAATATACTAGAATAAGTGAGTTTAATAAAGTTGAAGGATACAATGTCAAATCAATTGTATTCCTATAAACTAGCAAAAAACAATAGAAAATTGACATTTCTTAAAAGAACCATTTAAAACTACCAAAACCCATGAAATTCTTAGATATAAATCTAAAAAAAGCCCAATATCTTATATGCTGAAAATAACAAAATACTGATGAAATTTTTTTAAAAAACGTAAATTAAATTGAGGGATAATTCATACTCATGCATTAGAAGATTCAATATTGTTAAAATGTCAATTCTCTCTAATCCCAACCAGAATAGTGTGGGGTAATTTACCAGAGTTCACACTTTGGTGAGATGTACACTGTGGGTTTAGAAAATATGCCTTATGTTAAACACAAAAGGAAGTTCTTTAGATTGAAATAAAAGAGTGCTAGGTAATCAAAGGAATCCACATGAAGAAATAGAGTATCAATAAAGGAAGTGACATAGGTACATGTAAAAGATATATAAACATGTGTTTTTTATTTGTAACTTTTTGTTACCTATAAATCAAAAATATATAGTGAAAGAAAAGACAAGAGAATTAATAGTGCGCTAGAAATATCTACCTTACACAAAAGGCTGTAATGGAGATACAGAGGAACTAAAAGCATGTAAGAGATATATAAAAAAATAGTTAAGTGGCAGATGTAAATCCCACCTATCAGTAATAATGTTAAATATAAACGGATTAAACACTCTGACTAAAAAGCAATGCTAGGCAGAATAAAATTTTTAAAAGATCCAATTATGTGTGTTTATGAGAGAGACACTTTGGATCCAAAGATACAAATGAACTGAAAGTAAAAGGATGGAAAAAGAAATAATATGTTAAGAGTAACCTTAAAAGAGCTGGAGCGGCGATACTAATATTAGACAAAACTGACATTCAGACAATCTGTGAGACAAAGAACATTATGTATTTAAAAAGGATCAATCCTTTGAGAAGATGTAACATTTATATATATATATGCATCTAACAAGAGAGACCCAAAATACCTGAAGTAAAAATTGATAGAATTGAAGGGAGAAATAAACAATTCAACAATAATTTTTGGAGACTTCAATATATCAGTTTCAATAATGGAGAGTACAACCAGACAGAGGGTCAGTGGGAAAATGACTTTCACTACAAAGCAACTACATCTAACAGACATCTATAGAACATTCCTCCCAACAACAGCAAAAATACGTACCTTTCTCAAGTGGTCATGAAACATTCTCCAGGTTATATCATATATTAGACCATAAAACAACTCTTAATAAATTTGAAAGAACTGAGATTATACTAAGTATGTTCTCCAACTACAATGGAATAATATTAGAAATCAATAAAAAGACATCTTGGAAATTCACATATATGGGAAAATTAACATTCTAAATAATCAATGAATCAAAGAGAAAATTACGAGGGAAATGAAAGATTACTCTGAGAGGAATAAAATGAAAACACAACATGACAAAACTTATAGTATTCAACTAGTGCAATGTGCTTAGGAGGAATTTTAAAGCTACAGACACCTATATTAAAAAAGAACTATCTCAAATAAATAATCTAAGCTTCCATCTTGAGTCTAAAAAAAAAAGCAAATTAGACCGAAAGCAAGCAGAAGGAAGTAAATAATAAGAATGAGAACAAAAATAAAGAATAGAAAAATTAAAAAAATCAGTAAAACCAAGTTAGTCCTTTGAAAATAGCAGCCAAATTAAAACCGTTAGCTGTACTAGGGGAAAAAAAAAAACCAAACAAACAGAGAACACACAAGTTACGAACATTAGGATTGAAAGAAGGGACATTACTACTGAACTTACAGAAATAAAGATAAGGGGCTACTATGAACAATTGTATGTCAACAAATGAGGTAACAGATGAAACGAACAAGTTCACTGAAACACCCAAACACTGAAACTGATTTTTTTAAAAAGTAGAACATCTTTTCTTTAAACAAGACCTATAACAAGAAAAGAGATTAAATCAACAATAATAGTTAAATCAAATAAGACAAAACAAAAAACTTCCTGCAAAGAAAAACCAGAACCAGACGGCTTCGCTAGTGAATTCTACAAATATTTAAAGAATTATCATCAATCCCTCACAAACTATTCCCCAAAATAAAAGAAAAGAGAACACTTACAAAATCATTTTAAGGGGCCAAAATTACCTTGATACCAAAACCTGACAAAGATATGACAAGAACGATATCACTTATTTATATAGTTACAAAAATCCTTTACAAAATACCAACAAGCCAAATCCAGCAACATATAAAAAGGATTATGCACCATGACCAAGAGGAATTTATTCCAGGAATTAAAGATTGATTTAACATTTGAAATCAATTAATGCAATATACCACAGTAACAGAATAAACGACAAAATCCACAATATTATTTCACTAAACACAGAAAAAGCATTTCACAAAATTCAATACATTTTCATGATAAAAATTCTCAACAAACCAGAAATATATGATAATTTCATCATCCAGATAAAGGATATTTATAAAAAGCCCTCGGCTAACATCATGTTCTTAATGGTGACAAACAAAATTTCCCACTAAGATCAGAAACAAGACATGAATGTCTGCTCTTACCACTTCAACATTGTACTGGAGGTTCTAGCTAAGGCAATTACACAAAAGAAATAAAAGGCAGCAAAAACTGGACAGAAAAATAAAACTATCTCTATTTGCAGGTGACAGTTTTATATATAGAAAATATATAAATGTTGTATTAATATTGTAATGCTCCCCAAATTGATCTACAGATCCAATACAAAATTTCAGCTGCCCTTTTTGGCAGACATGGAAAAGCTAATCTTAATAGTCATAGAAATGCAAGGATTCAGAATAGCCAAAACAATCTTGGGAAAAAGAAAAAAAGTTGGATGACTTGCACATTTCAATTTCAAAACTTTCCACAAAGCTACAGTACTGTGTGGTACTGGCAGAAGGACAGACATATAGGTCAATGCAATAGGACTGAGAATCTAGATATAAGCTTATATATCTATGGTTAATTGATTTTGACAATTAATTAACTGTTTCATTGATTTTTTTCAATAGAAAGAATAGCTTTCCAACAAATAGTGCTGGGACAACAGGATATCCACAGACAAAATAATGCAGTTGAACCTCTACCTCATATCATATATAAAATTAACTCAAAATGGACCTAACTATAATAAGTAAAACTGTAAAATTATCAGAATAAAAAACAGTTATAAATCTTTGTGACCTTGCATTAGGCAGCAATTTATCATATTGTGACACCTAAAGCACAAGCAACCAAAGAAAAAAAACCAGATAAACTTAACTTCATAAAAATCTAAAGCTTTACAGACAATTCATAGAATGAGAGAAAATATCTGTAAATCATATCTGATAAGGGTCTACTATCCAGAATATATAAAGAACTTTTACAACTTAACAATTAAAAGACAAATAACTCAGTTTAAATACAGGCAAAGGATCTAAATAGACATTTCTCCAAAGAAGACATATAAATAGCCAATAAGCACATAAAAAGATGATCAATATCATTAATCATTACGGAAATGCAAATCAAAACCACAATGAGATAACACTTTCGCACCCACAAGGATAGCTATAATAAAAAAAAATGAAAAATAACGTGCTGAGAAGGATGTGGAGAAATTGGAAGTCTTGTACATTGGTGGTGGGAACATAAAATAATTTAGCATCAAGGAAAACTGGTAGTTCCTCAGAAAGTTAAACCACATATTTAACCTTCCACATGACCCAGTAATTCCACTCCTAGGAATATATTCCAAAGAACTGAAAACAGGAACTCAAACAAATACATGTAAATACATTCATAGTAGCACTAATCACCACAGCCAAAAGGTGGAAACAATGCAAATGTCCATCAACAGAAGAACAGATAAACAAACTGTGGTATATACGCAGGGGGTGGTTAGAAGCGCCAACTCCATGCAGAATCGAAAGTTCATGTATAAATTTGACTCCCCCAAAACTTAAGTTGTCCCTCTGTATCTGTGGGGGATTGGTTCTGGGGCCCCCATGGATAACAGAATCCAAGGATGCTCCAGTCTGCTATATAAAATGGTACAGATCAATGCATACAGTCAGCCCTCAGCATCTGTGGACTCCCAAACACAGGTGAAAAACAGTATAAGTATTTTGAAAAAGATGTGTGTATAACTGGATCCATGCAGTTCAAACCCATGTTATGAGTCTATATATATATACATATATATACACCTTGAAAACATTACGTTAAGTGAAAGAAGTCAGACACAAAACATCACATATTGATTATCTGCATGAAATATTCAGAATAGGTAAATCTAGAGTCAGAATACACATTGGTGGTTGTCAGAGGCTAGGGATAGAAAGGAATGAGTGAGTTATTAAAGGAAGGGAGGTTTTGATGAAAATATTTTGAAATAGAAGTGGTGTTGCACAACACTGAATATACTAAATACCCCTGAATTGTTCACTTTAAAGTGGCTGATTTTATATGAATTGTACCTCAATTAAAAAAAAAAGACAGTGAGATACTTCACATCCACTAAGATGGGTAGAATAAACTTTTTAACTTAATATTCAACTCAAAATTTATTGGCCTTATTAAGAATTCTTATATAGTTAATACTGCTTCTAATTTATCATAGAAGTTATTTCACAAAAATGTTAATCACAACTGGATTGACAGTATTTGGGAAAAGTGGCAATGCTGTTTGTATAAGTATGCCACATTATAAGTCTACTGGAGTTCCAAAGGGATTTGCTTTTGTGGAATTTCAAGCAAACAAGCAGCAAAAGCTCTTGAGGTAGGTTCAGGACTTTTTTTAGTTTCAAAGCAAGCATATCCAAGTGTAAGTGGTAGGGAGCCCAATCTTGGAAAATCTTGGAATCAAGAACATTCTTAAATATTTTGCTGGGATAAAACTGAGCTATGAAGATGGTGAGTGCTGTTGGTGTGATAACTTTTTTTTTTTTTAAAAGAACAGATAATAACAAATGTAATGAGAACGTGAGATACTGAAATTCTCAAGTATAGCTGGAGAGATTGTAAAATGGTATAGTCACTTTGTAAAAGTCTGGCAGTTTCTCAAAATGATAAAGAGTTATCACATGACCCAGTAATTTTCTTTAGCCATATACTAAAGAAAATTAAAAACATATGCTCATCAAAAAGTTGTACACGAACATTCACTGCAGTATTCTTACTAGTCAAAAAGTGGTAACAGCTTGAATGTCTATCAACTGCTGAATGGAGAAATGAAGTGTGGTATATAAACACTATAGAATATTAATTAGCTATACATAGAATAAAGTATGACATATGCTACAATATGGACAAACCTTGAAAGCCAGATCCAAAACGCTACATACTGTTTGATTCTATTTGTATAAAATGTCCAGAATAGATAAATCCAGAGACAGAAAGATAAATAGTTTTTGCCAGGGACTGGGGGTAAAGGGTGAATAGGGAGTGACTGATAATGGGTACTAGGTTTCCTTTTTGGAGTCATAAAAACATTTTAGAATTAGTGGTGATGCTTGCACAAACTTGTGAAAATACTAAAAAAGCCTTGAATATTTAAAGAAGGTGAATTTATGGTACATTAATTATATCTCAATAAAAGGTACTAAAAAAATCAGACATCCATTTAACAATAACATGAACCTTGAACTGTACCTTAAATGATATACAAAAATTAACTTGAATAGGATCACAGCCCTAATATAAAATCTAAAACTATAGAACTTCTAGAGAAAAATAAAGGAAAAAATCTTTGTGATCTGAGGTTAGGTTAAATTTTCTTAGATATGACATAAAAATATGGTCCATAGAATTTCAAAAATTGATAAATTGAACTTCACTAAAATATAAAACTTCTGCTCTTTGAAAGAATGTGAAAAGACAAAGCATAAAATGAAAGAAAATATATGTAAAATATGTACCTGACAAAAAATTTAATATGAGACTATTTTAAAATCCCTGACACATTAATAGTAAGAAAACAAACTGAATTAAAAATGATTAAAAGACTTGAAAAGACACTTCAAATTGTGCATGGCAAATAAGCAGTTGAAAAGAACACCTCATACTATTAGTCACTGGAGAAATACAAATTATAGCCACAATGATATATCACTACACACCAGTTAGAATGGCTAAACTTAAAAGAACTGACAATACCAAGTGCTGGTGAACATATAGAGAAACTGAAACGCATATATTATTGGTGGGAATGCAAGATGATACAGGCCCTTTGGAAAACAGTTGAGTAGTTTGTTGTTATGTCAAGTATATATTTACCATAGGATCCACGAAGCCAACTCCTGATATTTACCCAAGAGGAATACAAATATATGTTTGTCTGTAAATATTTATAAAGGCTTTATTCATAATTGCCAAAGTCTGGAAACAACCCAAATGTCCTTCAATTGGAAAATGGGTAAAGAAATTGTGATCCATATATTAGAATAGAAACTATGGTACAATGACATGGATGTCAAACACCTCATGCTAAATCAAAGAAGCCGGACTTAAAATGCTACATATTGTAAGATTCCATTTATATGATATTCTGGAAAAGATATATAACTACAGGAACAGAAAAAATAGATTAGTGGTTGCTGAGGGATGTGGGTGGAGGAAGAGGTTGATTACAAAGGGGCACGAGGGAACTTTCTAAGATTTAGAAATGTTCTATATTTTGATTGTGGTGGTGGCTACATGATTACATGTAGCCAAAACTCAAAGAACCATACACTAAAAAAAGGGTGAAAAAAGGGTGAATTTCAGAGTATATAAATGATAACTCATTAAACCTGACTCAAAAAGACATAGCTTTACAAAGAACATGCAGTTTAAAAATATCAATTTAGACCAAAAAATATGACTGTCTAAGAATTATCTTTTGGCGTAATACAACTTCTCTTAATGAGCAAGTATCTTTCTGTCCCATCAACTTACACTCAGCCTACATTAAGACAATTGAAATCAGACAAGCAAAATAACAACATTATTTTTATATCACAAACATACAGCATTTGCCTTAGCCATGAAACACTCACTAACACTTTTAGGCAAAAAGTACTACTGAATTTAATAGTAATGACCAATTTTCCAAAGTTTTAAAAGTGTATTTGAGACCAAATTAACACCAGTAAGGTCCTTGCCACAGGAAGTTTGTTTCATTCAATGATTTTGAGGGTGCACTATTTTCAGTTCACTAGATATGAGTGCCTAAACCATAGGGGCATCTGCCAGCTTGGCGAATGGTATCTGAGCTTGGGTTAAGAATTTAGCTTTTCTCTTGTTCCCAATTTTTAAAGTTCATACACACACACAAATGTGCGTGTGTGTGTGTGTGTGTGTGTGTGTGTGTGTGTGTGTGTATAAATGTATAAATAAAAAAATATGTGTGTGTGTGTATATATAAATATAAATATAGATACATACATACATACATACATACATACATACATACATACATACATACATACATACAAACAAATGCTATTTAGTTGAGCCAGAAGCCAAGAAACAGTCAAGGCTTGATGACTATGTTGACATCTGTTACTGGATTTATTGCCTGGGATAGGCTAATTCTCCTTGATGCTCTAGATATATTTTTTGTTTGATTTTAATAAGAATTATATTTGTTTCTCTAGCTATCCTATTTTTTTTAAACTCAGAAAAGGGTACCTCACTGATAAAATGGCAGGTGTTAACAGGTACTTAGGAAGTCTTTTTTTTTTTTTTTTTAAAGAAAACATCACTGACAGCAATCATCCCTTTGCCTCCCACAGGCCCATTAGCTCACTCTCAGGGGACTTCCTGGCTAAACTACTGAACAACAGGACCAGAGGCAGTGATGACTCACTGGCAAACACCAGATGCTCAACAAGCCAACGTTCCCCAGAAGCAGCCTTATGCTGCAGTGATTGGAACGCACTGAGTTGCATCCAGCTTCTTGCTTTCTCTATTCCCCTACATCTTGGTATTCAACAAAATAACCCGTCTCCTCATTAAGATCAGCTGATACAGAAGGCAGTGATACAAAAGAAAATGAAATACAGTGAAATAACAAATAAAATGTGGAATACCTTGTTTTTAGCTAATTCCTTTTCCAAATTGCATTTTTCATGTGTTATTTCTTTCTCTGTTTTATTAACCTGCCCAAGGAGGGAAAAAAGGAAATGGGTCAATGTTAAAGCAGCTGACAGGCTCTACTATAGCAGACATACCCTGTATGTCAATTAATACCTACACTGCAGAGATAGCACATCCTCTCAGAAAAGGGGCCACTCAGGGAGTCTCTGAGGCAGAGCAGACTTCACAAATAGCCCTGAAATTAGAAAGACACGTCTGCATGTCAGACTCTGCTGGCTCCTTTCTAACCAGAAAGACAGGGCTGTCCCCCTTAAGCTACATTGTTTCATTCCTTCATGGGAAATCAATTTTTAAAATCTGACCCCTTTTATCAAGGATGTGTGAACTATTAGTTAACATTCACTAATGCTATATAAGGGTATATACTATTTGGTACAGACTACTTTACATGCTAAAAGACACAGATTAGCTACCCGAGGATTTCTTTAATGGGCAACTCAGACAAACTGTACCTGGGTTGTATTTCTTTTCTTGTCTTTTGCACTTAAAATATAATGTTAAAACAAGATGACTACCACAACCAGGAACTAACATAATTCTGTCTCTACCTACCTGTCTCTGAAGTCTTTCTTTCTCTTCTAGCAGAGACATCTTCTCTTGTATTGATGCTTCTAATTCACCTTTCAATCTTGCAATAGTTGATTGTAGCAGCTCTTTTTGCACTGCTGTCCTCTTCTCTGCATCCTGTGCTTTCTGGATAAACTGGTTATTCTTAAGGATTAAATGGTCTCTGCAGGAAGAGAAAAGGAGATATGAAAGCTAAGTAAGAGTTCTTTAACAGAAAGACTAAATGTTCTTATGGAACATATCTCCTGCCTCAGAGCAGTTACCAAAATGTTCTAACAAAATTAGTTCTTTGAGGATAGTCTTTTTGTGGCTGGCCCGGCAAACACAGAATTACATTTTCATTAAAGATAAGAAATACAAATGCAACAACAAAAGATGCATAAGAAGTTGCCTACAATTTACTTACAGATGTGCTTGGAGTTGAGTTTTCTCATTCTGAACAGTCTGTAGCTCACTTGTGATACTGGCATGGGCTGCATCCAGCAGTAAGTTTTCTTCTTGAAATCTCTGTGTCATCATTTTCTGCTCCACCTGAGGACAGTGCTTGGTATATGGTAAATATGCTTCAAAAAAAAATGAGAGCTATTATTATTATGGTCTGTTTAGTGTCCTAAGAGTATAAGTAGAAAGAGAAAATTGATCCCTTCTGGTTGGAGTGATCCAGCAACCTGATGAAAGTGAATCTTAAAGAATGAATAGAATTCAAAGAGTTGAAGATGAAGTAAAGTTCATTCTCAGCATGGGGAATGGCATAAGTAAAATGGGAAAGTACAGATGTTTGGGGAAAAGGTAAGTACTTTAGGGTCAGTCATAAGTGTTCTCCACGATTTTATAAATGATGGGGCAGGTAATTATTTTTCCTGAAACAATGATCTTTAAGAAGACACCATTAAGAAAGCACTGAGTGTTAAGGCCACATGACCTTTCTGGTGAAAACTGAAAAACATCAATGGGAAAAAATATCAGTAAATTTCTTGGACTTAATTGTTATTCATTCAGCCAACTGCATTTCCTGATCTCTTAGCCACAGATATTTCCTGTTGATTTTATCAGAAACTGACTGGTGTTAAATGAGTGAATACCTGCAGAATGGCTTGATGGTTAGCAATAATTTTGGCATTTTCCATGCTAACAGTCTGAAGCATGTTATTTAGCTTGGAACACTTCCTAATGTCAGTTGGTCATCCAAACCCTAACATACACAGCAAAGCATAGATCTAACCAATAATCATTTTTACTTATGTATCATCATTTTTGATGACTGCATAGTATTTCATTAAATATGTGACCCTAATTTATTTAAGCTATCCCCCAATTGATATTTCATTAGATTATAAAATATTTTCAAATATTTGGAGTCCATGCTATAAACAATTCTAAATTAAAAGGAGAAATTTGTTGGTTTGATGGAGCAACCAAAGCATCTGGCAGTTTGCTGATCTTCTGTTCTCATCATTTTGAACATGGATCAAACAGAATAAAACATCTACAGGATGGAATTTACAATGTAGAACTCCAGCCAATATTACAGAAATACATTCCCAAAACTGGATGATGACCATTCAGAATTGTTTAGCTGATAACAGAAAATATTTAAGCTCATTCATCACTAATTACATATTCTTAAAAAGTAAAATATAGATGCCATTTCACAAGATTAATCTTCCAAAATAATACAAAAATCTTTTGTGCAACAGAGCTACCATCTGTATAGTTGGTTTATATTTCTCTTGTTTCTTTGCTATTTTTAAATTTGTATTCCTGTGGAAAATATTTGTCTTAATTATCAGTTATTTTTACAAAGTATATTTGGCAAGGATCTTATGTTTTAATGAACAAGGTCTTCAAGGATGGGGGCAAATAACTCTGAAGTGTCAATAGCAAAATATTAAAAAAATGATAACAAGAAAGGAAGGATAAATTAAAGATTATCTGGAAAGCATCGTAAGTGGTATGTATAGCACAATAATTAGGAACATATTCAGAGGCATTTTCAAGTTATAACCAGATGTACAAACTATTCATCAAAGAATACCTGGGGGTGAAACAAAAGAGAACTCTTGCTCCCTGAAAAGAAATAGCTAATTTTCTTCGGAGCCAGACTGCCGGAGCCCAAATTCCAACTCTGTCACTTATTAGTTGTCATTAAACCTCTCTGTGTATTAACTTCCTTATCTTTAAAAGTAGAATAATAATAGTGCTACTGCATGAATTACAATTCGTTAGTAACATAAGGTGCTTAGAATTGTGCCTAGAATTGAGTTCAGTAAATGTGACTATTAGAATAGTAATAGTAGTATTGCCATTAGTATTTTATAAAAGAACATTTATTTTGTATTTGTCGTAAGGAGAACACAGCAACACTATGATCCTAACATTAAAGTATTAAAATTGTACTAACAAAAAGTTCTTTTAAGTGATCAATACTATCTCATAAGGCCTCATGAGAAATAACTTGTTTGCCTGCATACTTGGTGACTATTCTCCCAAGTATGTATACATACATATACATAAAATGTCAGTTAAATTTGGAAACCATTACCCCATAGTAAATGGTTACTTATAACTCCAAATTCCAGCAAGCATTCGTTGGGTTCCTACTGTACTATCTGCTATAGAAGATACAAAGAAAGTTTAAGACATAGCCCTTGTCATTGAACTGCTAAGTATATAAGGGGAACGAAAAGGTATATATTTAAGGAGTAAATTAGAAAACAAAGGCAAGGTGTAAACTAGTGCACGATTTAGCAGTATATCTCATATACTTATGTGTCATAAGAATTTAGAGAGTGAAATGAGAAATGTAGTCAATTTGACAATGCTTCAAAATGAAGTAAGATCTTATAGAAATTTACATTTGGATGATAGCGATGGCATGAATTTATATACCAGAATTAATCCTTAATTGAACAAAATTAAATAACATCTAAAACACTAGAGAAAGGAGAAGACTCACCTGTGCTTTTTCTGACACTTCACGAAGGGATATTATTTCAGACCTCAAATATGCATTTTCTTCATGCTCCTTATTGAAAGACATCTGTATGTTCTATAGGAAAAAAAAGAATTTCTTTTACATGTAAATGTTATTACATGTATCTCTATCAAAATATTTGTTCTGTCCCAAACAAAAACTAAGACTTCATCACCACATGAAACCAGCTTTACAAGAAATGTTAAAGGGTTTTAAGTAGACAAAGGCCACAACCAGAAATAAAAATATAGGTAAAGCTAAATATTCAGTAAATATAGTAAATCATACACTTAAAGATACTACAAAGGTCAAAAGTAAAAAGTATCAAACACAACTCAAACTACAATCAGTATGAGATCTAAGCACAACACAAAAAGATCTAAAATATGACATCAATAACATAAAGCATGGAGAAGGTAGTAAAAATGCAATCCTTATGGAATATATTTGAACTTAAATGCCTATTAGCTTAAAAAAGACTGCTATAGATAAACAATGACATACATAAATCTCATGGTAACCACAAACTGAAAACCTATAAAAGATATACAAGGAACAAAGAAAAAAGAACCTAAACAAAACACTAAAGAAAAACAGCACACCACAAGGGGAGATCAGGATAAGAAAGGAACAGAGGATAACTATAAAAACCTAAAAAAAATTAACGAAATGTCAATAAGTACTTATCAATAATCACTCAAAATGTAAATGGATTAAATGTCCCAATAGAAAGACATTAGGTTGCTGAATAGATTTAAATAAAATGACCTATCTATATTATTTATAAGAGACTCACTTCAAATCAAAAGATACATACGGACTGAAAGTAAAGAGATAGCAAAAGATATTCAACGCAAACAGAAATAAAAAAAAAAAAGCTGGAGTAGGAATACATAGACAAAATAAACTTTAAAATAAAAAATGTAAAAAGGCAAAGAAGGACATTAGATAATTATAAGGGGGTTAATCCAAGAAGAGGATATAATAATTAAAAATATCTACGCACCCAACATAGGAGCATGTAAATATACATAACAATTATTAATGGATATAAAGGGAGAATCTACAGTAATGCAATAATAGTAGGGGATTTCAATACTTCACCTCACACCAATGGGCAAATCACCTAGATAGAAAATAAATAAGAAAATAATGGCCTTAAATGAAATGTCACATTAGGAGCAACTTAAATAGACATTTATAGAATGTTTCATCTAAAAACTGTAGAATATGCACTTTTTCAAGTCCGCATGGAACATTCTCTAGGATAGATCACATATTAGGACACAAAAAATGCCTCAGAAAATTCAGGAAGATTGAAAGCATATCAAGCATCTTTTCTGATACCAATGGCATGAAACTAGAAATTGACTACAGGAAAAAAACTGGAAAAAACCCACAAATATGTGGAAACTAAACATGCTACTGAGCAACCAATGATAACAGGAAATAAACAAGAAATAAAAAACTATCTTGAAACAAATGAAAATAAAAATTTATGGGATGCAGCAAAAGCAGTTCTTAGAGGGGAGTTCATAGCTATACAGGCCTACTTCAAGAAACAAGAAAAATTGCAAATAAACAATAAAACTCTCCACCTAAGGAACTAGAAGAAAAACAAACCTGAAAGTAAACAGAAGGCAGGAAATTGTTAAGAGCACAAAAAAATGAAATAGATATTTTAAAATACAATAGAAAAGGTCAATAAAAGTAAGAGCTAGTCCTTTGAAAAAACAGAAAAACTTTTAGTTAAATTCATTAAGGAAAAAAGAGAACCCAAATAATAAAATCATAATTGAAAGAGAAGTTATAACTGGCACCACAGAAGCATAAAGAATCATTAAAGAATACTATGAACAATTATATGCCAACAAATTCAACAATCTAAAAGAAATGAACAAATTTCTACAAGTATATAACCTTCCAAGGCTGAACCAAGAACTATAAAATCTAAACAGACCAATTATTAACAATGAAATTAAAGCAGTAATGAAAAAACTCCCAATAAATAAAAGTTGAGAACCAGATGGCTTCACAGGTGAATTGTACCAAACATTCAAAGAATAATTAATATTTATCCTTCTTAAACTATTTCAAAAAATTGAAGAAGAAGGAACACTTCCAAACTCATTTTATGAAGCCAGCATTACCTTGATACCAAAACCAAAGACATTACAAAAAAAAATTGCAGGCCAATGGCATTCTTATCAGAATTATAACTAATCCTAAAATTTATACAGAAGCACAAAAGACCCTGAATAGCTACCCCCCGCCCCCCAAAAAACTTGAGAAAGAATAGTGGAAGGTACTACACTTCCTGATTTTAAACTATACTACAAAGCTAAAATAATTGAAACAGTATGATATCGGCATAAAAACAGATACATAGATCAATGTAATAGAATAGAGATCCCAGAAATAAATCCTTGCTTATATGGTCAATTAATCTACAAAAAAAGAGGCAAGGATATACGATGTCCTTATTGGGGGCAGTCTCCACCTTTTTCAAACATTTATAACCACATGAAATGATTTATTTCTTAATACCTGGTTGACAGCAGTTCTGAATATGCTACTTATTTATGCTAAAATGTTTTTTAATGAAGATTTGAGAATCAGAAGGACTGTAAACCAACATGAGGAAATATTACTTTGTCAAGAAAGGAAAGAACACCTCTGCACTCTCCAACCTCAAAACTTACCTTATTTTCTTCAACCAACTTGGAAATGAGGTCATCTCTAGTAACTAAAAACAAAAAGTTCACATAACTATGATAATAAATAATTTAGTACAACTACATTTGAAATCACTATGTTTTTCCTGGAGAAGCTTTGATTTGTTGCGGGGAGAGGGGCCTGTATTTTGTGAAATAAGGAGAATGCAAGTATTTCTATCATATTTTTACAGACTAGAAACAAAGTCAGGGAATTATCAAGAAATGAGTCCAGAGTCATGTGCGATGGTAAATGGGGTCATATTTTACTCCATGCATAGATGATGATGAATTTCTGAAAGATTTAAGTTGGAGAGGCATGCAATCAAAAGCTTTTTGTTAGAGTCTCTAACAATAAAGACAGGGAGATCAGTTTAGTAGCTGTTCCAATAACTGGGAGTGTAAAACAACGAGAGCGGGCTCTAAGGTAATGACAGTGGGGATTCAGAAGAAAAACATTTGTGAAATAAGCAGGGAAAATTGTCGGGACTTGGTTAGCTGACTGGTGGGATAAAGGCAATAAGTGAGTAAAGGAAAATACCTAGCCTTCAGGTTGGAGGAGTAGGGTGGATGATGGACTCAACTGAATAGGGAATATGGGGCAAGGAGCAAGTTTGGGGCACAGAATGAGTATGAAGGATTGCAATACTTAAGTTTTCATCATGTGTTTTGAGGTATCTGCAAGGAATCCAAATATAGATGTTTAGTTGGTAGAAATATACCATCTGGAGCTCAGGAGGATGAATTTGTGTGGAATTTTTTTTTTTTTTTTTTTAACTAGAGAGTACATTCAGTGAAAATAAAACCAAAGACAGAAATAGGGGAACAACATGGTATTGTACATTAGCGGCCAAAAGATGTAAACTTTTCTGAGTGATGTTTTGGCTTCACAGAAAATTCACAAAAATCTATCAGTTTTATTTCACTTAAATATTCTAAAGCCAGAAAATTACGAAATATGTAAATCCTCACATTTTATGTAGAATACACCAGAAAAATTATACTTTTTGAATGTCTGAGTCCAAAATTCATTTCGAATAAATTCTAATTTAAAATATCTGAAGAATCAAAAAAAAAAAATAAACTATATGATAAAATAAGAATTAAAGGGAAGTGTTTATCTTACTTGGGAGAACAACTTAATAACTTTAATTAGTGTATGTGGAGGGGAGTGGGTTATGTATGTTTACTGCTAATAAACAATAAACAATTACATTTTTAAGTTCACTGAAGCAAATATCTAATGACATCCCTTTTATTAATCTATTTAGCAGAACTATTTGTACCTTAAAGCAATAAATTTGCATGCATGTAAAAAGTCTATTATTCAAGAAGCATATAATTGGTATTCAGATGGGCTTCTTTTTTCCTCATGTTTGAATTACTGTTGTTTTAATCTTCATTTTTTAAAAATAATCTTGCATATATTCTTTATAAAATTCAAAAATAAAGCATTAATCCAATGAGAAAGTAACATTAAAAAAATCGCTTAATCAGAAGGACAACTAATATAATAGAAATATCTGTTTTTAGTTCTAGCTTTTCTATTTACTATGGGGCCTGAATATAGACCTTTTTATTCTTCTGTAGGATAGGGTATATTTTCTTTCTCATAAGGTTGTTGTAAGGCTCACATGAGATAATGGGGCAACAACATAAAATGTAACATTTATTTTTACAGCCATGCAATCATAGGAAGACAGAAAATTATATTGGGGTATCGTCAGAGAAAATGTCACAAAATAATTCTCTACTCAACAATTATAAAGAAAAAGAGTACTTTCTGCTAAAATCAGTAAGTCAGAACATTGAAATTGCTCTTTGCTCTAAGTTTTTCCTACTTTTCATTATCCTTTTGGTATTCCTTCCCCTATTACAGCCAGAGAGCAGAGAAGGCATATTAGCAACAACACTGGGCTTGGAGTTAGAAGATCCAGGTTCAAGCCTCATTTCATCATTTATTCCTTTTGTAACTTTGGGAAATACAAATAGTTTTGCATGTTACATGAGATCATCTATGTGAAAGCTCTGTGTAAACCATGAAGTGTTATTCATATTTTAGGTACTTCATGATCTCTATAGTTGAGACTATCTGGAAACTGATTTACAACAACATATTAAAAACAGTAATATATATGATAAGGGCTGATGGGCTGGAAGAAGTATGTCTCTGAGTAACCTGGGATCAAGTCTAGACTCTTCCACTGCTTAGCTCTGTCACCTCTAAGGACTTTGTTTACTCACCTATAAAATGAGATTAATCTAAGCTCTAAAGTACCTTACAGCCATCCATTTCTATAAACACAGGCCAACCAAAATAGATTGGTAAACTGAAGAATGAAGAGTCTGATATGATAAATGGTTAGAATCAATCGGTTAGCAAGGATTAATGGCCTTATTTCCTTATTAACATTCTGCTTTCCACTATTCAATCTAGATTTCTAGAAACTAAATGTTCCCAAGTCCACAAACGCTGAAATAAACCTGAAAAGAATCTAAATAAAAAATATTTTACAATTAAGAGGGTCAAATTCTATTTTATTACCATTCTCTTTTCTCAGTGCCAAAGATAGAAAAGAAATCAGCAGTTTTTTACATTCTGGCCTGCAGGTAATATCAGTAACACTGGCCACTTCAAGAATTTGAGATCTTAAGAGGTTTTGCAAAAAAATCTCAAAAAACTAGCAAAAGTGTAATTTTTAGCATCTATTTTCATACTTAGATCAGATTTGAGCTGTGAGATAGCAGTCTCCAACTCTTCTTTTTTTTGTTGCTCCTGTGCCAGCAGTTCTTGAGTGTTCTGTATGGTACTGCGTAGGGCAATGCAGTTTTGCTGCAAACTTTGCACCTGAAATTGTATAAGAAAAACTTCTTTTCTGTAAGATAAAGATTTCTAATAAATTACCTTAGAGCATGTGTGTGGAACAGATTTTCCAATCTTAACATTACTGGAGGGGGATGGGGAGCTTCTCTATATATTACAATTAAAGATCTCAACAAAGTGCAGTATTTTACAACAGTACAATCCAATAGAACTTCCTGGCACTCTTCAACTCGGCAGCCACTAGTCACAAGTGACTGCCAAGCACTCCAAATGTGGCCAGAGTGAGTAAGAAATCTAATTTTTAATTTTATTTAATTTTAACTAATTTAAATAGCCATAAATGACTAGAGGCTACTATACTGGCAGTGCAAGTTATAGCAACAAAGGATCATTTACAAATTACTTAAGTAGAATCCTTTTTATAATTCTATTGTGAAGGACAGCTGTTAAAATAATTGAGTTAAAATAGGTTAAATGATAAAGTTATTAATTAAATCAGTTAAAATAAAATTAGGTTAAAATAATAAGGATTACATAATCCAATTACAGGTATTAGGATTTGGAACAACTAATTGCCTTGGGTACTTAGAATTTAAAATATTCTAAATTGCATGTAGGTACTCCAAATAACAACAATGATGAAGGCAAATATATTATACTAAAATAAATAATGACAATTGCAAACAGCTATATAAACACATCCCTGATTATTTTACTTACTGGTATTCTTTGCTCAAGTATTAGCTCAGTTTAATCTTTATTTTCTATCCATATCACATACATATAACATGAGACCAGGGCAATGCCTTCTAAGATTAATCCTTAAAACAGAGATTATATGATGCACAGGGAAGGATATCATCCCAGGAGCTAACCAGTTACCCCTACAAAGCCTGAGGCAAAGTAACCTCTCTGGTCCTTAGCTCCCTCATTCATAAGTTAGACTGAATAACATCAGATCCTTTATTTTGCACTAAAATATTTAAAATTGTAGTAAGAATGTTAACAGATTACCAAAGAAAAGTAAATAATAAATCTAGAGGAAATTATAGGTGAAATTACCAGCTTTTCTCTTTTGGTTTTACTTCCCCAACATAAATAAGGAGAGAGAAATCTACCTGCTTCCGTTCTACTTCCACCGTTGATCCCATTTCTTGTATTCTGAGTAGCATGGTTGATCCAGATTTCTCAAGAGATTCCCTTAGATACTGCTCTTGAGACAACTGTCTCCTTAGCTGCAGAGCAACAATGCAGTTAGGCAATAACAAGGGAACATCACAGCAGTTTCACAAAGATCACATTCACCGTGGGAAGTTAACCAGACTTGTCATCTCACCTCCAAACATTCTTCATTTGTTTATGTTCTTCATCAGTAACATGATTTTGTTTTTCCTTCACAAATGACCTTCTAATAAATACGAAGCCAAATTTGTTGCCCTTGCCTATTATGTAAGTCTGATTTTCAAACTTTGTGTCAAGATGCATTAGTAATTTGCAAGTAGCACTTGAATAAGGAAAAAAAAATATGAAAGCATGTAGCAAGTAATAAGGGTATATGTGTGTACAGTGTTGCAGTGTAAAATATGTTTTATAATGGACTATCAAAAAGAAGTTTGAAAAACACTAATATCATACCTTAGTATGTGTATGTTCTGTATTTCTTTCTGACTTTATTTTTTAAATATTATTTTCCTATATTTTTATTTCCTCATCTATATATTTTTTATCCTGTAGTATTATAAAACATAACATAGCTGTTTCAATTCTGTTTTAGAATTTAAAGGTCTAAACAAATAATGAAGTAACTGTTAAATGGCAGATAAGCTGACATTCAAGAATTGGGGTACCCTACATTATTTCTCTCAATAAGTGAATATAAAATGAGTCAGAAAGAGATAAAAGGAGTCTCTTTTAACATGAGATAAAGAGATCCTTTCCAACTTAAAATGAGAATTGCAGAATGTTATTCCTTTATGAAGTGATGTTAAATTAGAAGAAATTCTATTTTCAAGCTTGAGTGAAGAGGACATAAGAATAAACTTTATAATTTTATACATGTTTTTGCCATGGATAATATATTTTATAATGTTTAAACGTTTTTGAAAAGTTCAAAGAGATGAAAAATGTGTTCGCATGGAACTGTTCTAATAGTCCATTTTGGAAATATTCTATGATATCCTTAATCATACCCCTAGTACTGAACATTTAGGTTGTTTTTCCAGTTTTCTACTATTCTAAATACTCTTCTGCTTGTGAGTAAATCTTTCATTGCAGTTCCTTAAGATAAATTCCTATAAGAGGAATCAGTAGGTTACAAGTATAAACATTTTTTTAAATTTTTGATACATAATGTGATTTCCCAAATTTTAGCCTATTTGAATAAATCCTATCAGAACTATGTATTATCATTTTCTTAAATCTTTGCTAATCTAATAAATGAAAAATAACATCTTAAGAGTTTTTCATTTCTTTGGTTACTAGTGAGATTAAACATTTTCTAATATGGTTATTAGCTCTTTATATATTTTCTGAACTGTTATTGTTCTTATTCTTTGCCCACTGTTTTTTTGATTTGAGTTTTTTCTTAGTCAAGTTCTTTAAAATTGAAGAATATTAACTCTTTGTCTAGTTTTGTTATGTCTTATTAGTTTTGTTTTTTGCCTTTTTTTTTTTTACATGTAGAAATGTTTAGTTCTTATGTGGTCAAATCTATTGAGGTTTTATATTTAGAAATTCCTTTCTCATCCAATGATCAATTAAATTTTACAATCTTATTTTAAAATGAGCCATAGTTTTTGTTTTGGGCTATATTTTATAAAAATCCGATACTAAAATTATCAGGTTATAATTACTTTATAATATAAAATAGCTTAATATACTTTTTTAAATTCTAGATTAAATTATATAATTTGCTCAAGATATAATTTAGGTACTTTGTAAAGGAAATCTTTATATGATAATATACTACTGAGATATTCATTTCCGAAGCATTATTAAAGGCAATACGTCAATCTATTTTATGTTCATCAGAACCAGATTTTATATATTTTTTATGTCTTGGGAAGATGTATACCACATGTATTCTGTCTTTTATGGACTAAATTGTATTCCTTCAAAATTCATATGTTGAAGCCCTAATTCCCAGTATTTCAAAATGTGACTATATTTGAAATAGGAACTTTAAAGAGGTGATTAAATTATTAGAATGGGCCCTAATCCAACCTGACTGGTATCCTTATAAGAGGAAGAAACTGGGATATGGAAGAGACATCAGGGATGTGTGGGCACAGAGCATGTGAAGACACTGTGAGAAGGCAGCCATTGGCAAGCCAAGTAAAGAGGCCTCGGAAGAAACCAAATATAAGGACACCTTAATCTTGAACTTTAACCGTCCAGAAATATGAGAAACAAATTTCTGTTGTTGAAGACATCCAGTCTGTGCTACTTTGTTATAGCGGCGCTAGCAACCTAATACGTCCCTCCTGCTCTAATACTCTCAAAACATCTTTAGATTAGAAGAGTCCTTCCACAGATCCCTGACAAAGTTCAATGAAAACACAGGATTTTATCACATCATTCAGAATTAAGACTTTCCCAATAAAAATAAAGATAAATGGCAATCAATGATAGCCTTTTAAACAAATGGTATGGAACATATGGACATAAACACATATGCACAAAGAATCTAGATATAGACCTCATACCTTTTACAAAAATTAATTAAAAATGTATCATAAACCTAAATGTAAAATGCAAAACTATAACACTTCTAAAAGAAAACACAGGAGAAAAATCTTGGTGATGACTTTTTAGATATAACACCAACAGTATAATCCCTGAAAGAAAAAATTGGTAAGCTAGACTTCATTAAAATTAAAAGCGCTACAAAAGACAGTGTTAAAAGAATGCAAAGATAAGCTACAGATTGGGAAAAAATATCTGCAAAGCATGTATTTGATAAAGAACTGGTATGCAAAATATACAAGGAACTCTAAAAACTCAATAGAAGAAAACAAACAACCCCGTTACAAAATGAGCAAAAAGACCTCAGACACTTCACCAAATGAAATATACAGACAAACAAGTATATAAAAAAGATGTTCAATATCGCGTCATTAAGGAATTTAAAATTAAAATAAGATACCATTACACACCTATCAGAATGGCAACATTTCAAAAAAATAACACCAAATGCTGGTGAGACTATGGAGCAACAGGAATTCTCAGTCATTGCTGGTGTGTGCAAAATAATACAGTCATTTGTTAAGACAGGTCGGCAGTTTCTGACAAAGTGAAACATAAGCTTACCATGAGATCTAGCAATTGTGCTCTTAAGTATTTATCCAAATGAGTTGAAAACATGTCTACACAAAACCTACATATGACTGTTTATTTATAATTGCCAAAAGTTAGAAGCAACCAAGATGTTTTTAAGTAGGTAAGGATAAACAAACTGTGTTACATCCATACAGTGGACTAATGTTTAGTGAAAAAATAAGTTCTCAAGCCATGAAAAGACATGGACGAATTTTAAAGGCACATTTAAAGTGAAAAAAGCCAGTTCAAAAACGCTACACACTAATTTTACCCTGAAATCTTCATTTCGGCCTAAATTTTAGTAGACAACTATGACTCCAACTATAACAAAACTATAGAGACAGTGAAAAGATCAGTGTTGCCAGGGGCTCAGAGGGAGGTGGGCAGAGGGGTGAATATATGGAGTACTGAGCATTTTTAGGGAAGTGAAATTCTGTATGATACTCTAATGAACAAAGAGTGAATCTTATTATAAATTGTGGACTTTAGTTAATTATGATGTGTCAATACTAGTTTATAAGATGTAACAAATGTACCACACTAGTGTCAATATGCTAATAATAAGGAAAACTGTGGGGTGGGGAGAGTGAGTTTACGGCAACTCTTTTCTGTGCAATTTTTCTATAAATTTAAAACTTTTTAAACAGTCTATTAAAATATCTAAAAAAATTTTTAATGTGCTAAACTTAATGCATTCTAAGAACAATCATGTTTTTATTGGTGATTACTAGCAAAGTACGTAAAAGAATTTTCCGGATAGCAATACTTACCACCTTGAACACTAAAATTCATAATTTAAAAAATAATTTGGGATGAGAATTTTCCTAAGAAATATACTGACGTCTTTATTTTGTATAACAGAATGTTTTAGATAATTTGACCCTTTGTATTTGGACTAACATCAATTATAATTCAGTCAGAGAATAATGAAGTTTTGGGGCCGCTGTCAGGGTATACTGAATTAGTAATCTTTCTGACTCTTCCACTATTTTCAGCTGCAAATTTTTAGTCCAACTTTTAGCAGCCACCTACTTCACAATTTCCAATCTGTTATCTACTAAAACTTAGGCTGAAATGAAGGTTTCAAGGTAAAATTAGATGAGCAGGCTTATTAAAAGCTGTTTACTTTAAACACAGCTTTACTTTAAAAGGTCTTTGTATAAAGGTGTTCACCTAACTCTAAGTATATGGGCAACCGCGTGTATTTGTGGTAACTATTTCCCTCCTGGTTCAGACAGCATTTTAATTTCTGGTTTTACGGCCATATTGAGACAATAAGGGCAGCCACTTTCACATGAATTTCACGTGGTGTATTTTAAAAATCTTCCTACTACACAGTCACATATTTTCTGCTTCAAAGGATCTCATTCATTCTGTCCACTTTTCTGACTTTCCCTCTGCAATTCTAATACCCCCTCAGGCATCTTTTAATCTTACCTCCTCAATTTTAAGGTTCATTTTTCGTTTTGTGGTCTTCAGTTCCTCTTCAACAATGGCTACATTCTTCTAAAAGTAGGAAAAAAGATTTTAAATAATCTGAAATGATAGGGGAAAACTGGCAACCTATAAATGCTATTCTGAATACAGTTATACTTATTGTGACTCTTAAGTCATTATTACAATGAGATATTTTAAAAGAAGTTATTTTATTACTTCGATTTATGACTTCTATCATTTTTCCTTTTAGATCATAAAAAGGGATTAGTCAGATTCACTTCCTATGTAAAATTCAATACTCAGAGGTAAATCTGATAACAGAAATTTTTCTCATGGTATATTCCTATTTTTTTAAGTACTGTATTCCTTCTAGTCTCCAAGATTAACCATGCCTAGGAGCTGAAAATGAAAAACAAGGCTTTCATTATTTACTTTTTTATATTGTTATTAGTGGTACTGCAGATATAAAACCTCAGTCGACTATCTTTGCCATCTTTCCTATCTTCAGCTCTTACTATATTCTAGCATAAAGAGCATTTATCTTTTTAATTCCACAACTCTATGTCAGACCTAATAAGGTACATGCCTGAATGCAATAGATTCCTAATTCTTTTCCCTGCCTCCAACCTCCTCTATAATCAATACTCTATACTACTACCAGATTAGCTTTCCTGTTTTCATTCTCTCACAGCCTTATCAAAAACCTTAATCACCCCCAAGAGAATCAAGCCCAACTACTGATTTTACTTGATTTTGAGATCCTCTGTAATGTGATCTCTAGCTAATTTCCAACTTATTTCCCACAAATAATCCCCACTCCTGTCAAGATAGTTTATGCATTTCCCCCTAATTGCATCCAGTGGAAAGATAAAGTTCAAACCTGAGTTAAGGGAAGAAGACAAGGAAGTGTGATCTTGGAGAAGTGACTTCTCTCTGGGCCCCAGTATTCTTATCGTTAAAATGGAAACAATAATATCCTATATAATGAGGTTTTATGAAGATTGAACAAAATAATGTTGGACATCTATTATACTAATGGGCCCATGGGATGAAAACAAAATTTTTAGTTTATTTTCCTAGTCTTTATTCTTTGCTGACTTGTGTGTGCTCCCTGAAATGTCTTCACCTCTCTACTTTGTCTTCTAAATGTTCAGCTCAAGTCCTATCTTTTGTGAAACCTACCCTAATCTATTATGCACCCTTTTAAACCTACCCAAATGCAAACTCTTCAATATTCACTTACTGTCCTGTACTATCCTTTAATATTTTTTACGTCCTTATTTTTTTCTCTATTAAGTTGTTCACCTTGTTCTCCCAGCTAGCACGGAAGCTCCATAAGAGCACAGACTACCTCATTTCTTGGGACCCTTACAGTCACGTGTACAGGGTAAGGGCTCTATAAATACTCAGTTACTGATAGCACACGACAGTTTAGGTTATCAATGTAGATACATTTCAAATGTCAAGAATCCTCACATCAACATCACCTATTTTAAAAATCAATTTTATGGGCCTACTGAATCCTTCAAATAACACCTAACAGTGACTCTGTATTTCAGAACTCTGGACTCAAACCTTTGTCTCTGAAGCGATCTCCAAGGTGGCAGTCAACCTTTGAACTTCATCTTGTGCCTTGTCTTCTCCCTCTTTCACATCTCTTAGTTGCTGGCGCAAATTCATCACTTCCAGATGCAACAGCTTCAGGTCCTTGGAATGCTCGTCCTGTATTGTATTCAGTCGATCCTTCAGAAAAGCTACCAGAGAGCACAGGTGGGTCATCAAGCAGTTGAAAGGTCAGGAAAAGAAAAGAATCATAAACATATCGAGCACCCATACAGGACCAAATTTATGACAGTTCTCCTCTCTCTATACCTGTTTTCTGTGGATTCAAATCCTTTTCAGTTTGCAGACGGAAGATGTTCATCTTCAAGGACTGAATGAGGCTTTCTAGATGGCACATTCGATTTACCAGAAACTCACAGTTCTTCCACAAAATATCTGATTTTCCCGAACAAATTATTTCTCTTTGGATAGGGCTAATGATGTTCTGGTTTGCAGGTTCTTCTAAACACTTTGGAGTTTCAAACTGGCTTCTGAACAAAGATCCCAATATAACAATATTATGCAATGTTATGGTACTATGGTAATCCCAATCATTGAGTCAATGTAACATTTCTACTAAGGATAAAAACTAGATCCCTTAGTTAACAAGCAACAGTCAGCCCCTCCAAATTTAAATTGAGAGAGCACTATTAGGTAAAGAGGGTGAGACTGGTGTGGAATGGGGAATGATCACTGACTTTTTAAGGTTATTTCTGAAATTTTCATAAACTTTTTTGTATGTAAAAACAAGTGATATATAAAAAATGTTAAATACTAATTCTATAATCGTGAACTAAGAATTAAAGTTAGCAAAAGGGCAATATATGCATGTTTTTTAAAAGTTTTAAACAAGGTCATAATAAATGTTGTTTTGTTCCAACGTTTGTACAAATTTAATATTTAACTGTTGAAGAGTTCTTTATTCTATGGGTGCTACAATACCAATCCTACTAATTTTAGGTCTTTGTCAGAGACACTCAGGAAATATATAGAGGCATATCTTGGAGATATTGCAGGTTCAGAGCTAGACCACTGCAATAATGGGGGTTGTAATCTTTTTGCTGGTGGAGGGTCTTACTTTCAATTTGTAAAAAATGCAATATCTATGAAGTGCAATAAAGTGAAGTGCAATAAAATGAGGTATGCTTGTGTGTTAATTTTAAAGAAAATCACACCAGGAAATTTGATACTGGCTGCTTATGTACCTGGATTTCTCAGGCCATTGATAATCCAACTTTTAACGGCAATAACTTCTTAGCAGCACAAGAGGAAAAACAATTTTTTTTAGTACTTCATCCTAAATTATGTTTTTAAGACTTAAAACCTCTTTTAATTTACAATAAATTTGGAAAAAGAAAATGAAGAACATATTTTAATGGCATGAATCAAGTTTAGATTTCACTTTAACTACTATCAAAGTCTATTTTTAATTTAAAAAATAAAATTATTTCTAATTACACACAAAAAATCACATGTTTTTAATCAAGTATTGAAGGTAAATAGGATATCAATAATTGTACACCTAATTAACCACGCTTTGAATATCTGTTTAGGAGAATAGTGGTAGCAGTTCTATCACAAGATGATGACTTTATCTTGCAAATATTTTCTAATTAATGTTCAAATGGAAAGTGTTATTTCTAATTCTTTTGTAAATACCTATTTCATCTGTTAAACCATCCGCACTGTTACTCCTTATTAATAATCAGTGAAACAAAGTTCTTCAACTTACAGAGATCTAGTTCATTTTTTACTTGTTACCTTTCATCACCAAAGTCTAACATTATTAGGTCATCCCTCAGAGAACTGGTCTGTTCTTCAACTATTCTCATCTTTTGCTGAAGTACGGTGAATGTTTCAGAAGCTGTAGCGTTGATGTGGGTTGGAGAGACGACTGGTCTGGACATTGCAGTTTCCACATGCACCTGAGATTAAAGTCACGATATTAGTGTAGTAGGTTCTATTATTGTTCGAAATAGTCACCAGCCCTTCCTGTGGGATGATTACACATCCCTGTCCTGTTGAGCTCAGGAAAAGCCACGTGTCCTACTTTGGCCAATTAAATGTGGGTGGAAGCTTTAAAAGCCAACGTATCATTCACCATCTCTCCTTTTCCCTCTCCATGAGATGAGCAACATCCCAAACAGTAGCATGACAGCCAGTGCGAGTGAGCAATAAACTTATGTTGTTATAAGCCACTATTGTTCAGTAGTTTGTTATTGCATCATAATATACTCTATTCTAACTACTATTAGACACACGTTAGGACCTATGACTTGGCAGAAGGAGTTATTATCTCTTTCAGTACCAGTCATTTTCATTTTAATATATTCTCAACTCAACCTTTCTGGGGGAAAAAAATCTATACTTGGATCTCTGAGGGCTGTCATAAAATATTTACCAATTACACTAAAGCAATGATTTTTAAAAATAATTTGCAAACTTAACTTTATAGCAACAACTCTTCTACAGCTATTGACATCAAATTTCCAGACTCCTCCCTCCAAACTACATAAGAGTAATGGGAGTAGTGAGACTACTCTTTTGGGCATGGACAGAAGCAGAACTAGCTTATAAGCAATCCCAACTTTTAAATGAACAATGTGCCTAAAGTTTAATGAGAAGGTCGTTGGTAGAAACTTTAAGGATATTCTCCTCCAACTCCATTTCTATACTAATCAGACTGTAAACCTTAACCATCACTAGCAATAGTGTTCCCATGGGAATGTGAGCACAAAGGTCCCACCTGTAATATTAGTAATACATCTTTCTCCCTCACTAGTTGTGTAATCGTATATCTCCCTTACTCTTACCTCCCAGGTGGTACAAGTGGGGACTACCTCAGTTCCAAGTCGCTGAAGGTGGTCTCCAGGACCCACAGCAGCAATTAAAGTAGTGTTAAAACTGGTGGCAGGATTTAAGGGGACAAAAAGCATAGTGAGGACCTGTGAAAAGGTTGGGCTTCTTGCCAATATAATACTACTATGACCACTGAGGACATTTCTTCATTCTGAAATAACTCTCCAATCAACTTATATCTTCCTCCTACAGGTCTCAGAGAATGGCCTTTCTAGTTCTTACTTTTTAAAAAACTTTATTGAGGAATAACTGACAAATATAATCATATATATTTAAAGTGGACAACATGATGATATGATATACATATAGGTATATTAGAGAATGATTACAAAGATCAAAATAATTAACACATCCATCGCCTCACATAGTTAGCATAGTTAATTCTTTTGTGTGTAGTAAGAACACTTAAGATCTACTCTCAGCAACTTTCAAGTATATAATAACTTGTTATTAATTATAGTCACCATGCTGTACATTATATCCTTAGAATCTCTTATTTGAAAAGGCAACCTATAGAATGGGAGAAAATATTCATAAACCATATATCTGACAAGGGGATAATATCCAAAATATATAAAGAATTCATGTAACTCAACAACAACAACAAATCTGATTTAAAAATGGGCAATGAACCTGAGTAGACATTTTTCCAAAGAAGAAATATAAATGGCCAATAGCTTTATGAAAAGGTTCTCAACATCACTAATCATCACAGAAATGCAAATCAAAACCACAATGATAAAAAAAAACACAATGAGCTATGTCACACCTGTTAGAACAGCTATTGTCAAAAATATGCTAAATGTTGGTAGGGATGTGGAGAAAAGGGAACCCTCATGCACTATTAGTGGAAATTTAAATTGGTGCAACCACCACAAAAACGGTACGGAGTTTCTTCAAAAAAATAAAAATTGAACTACCAAATGATCCAGCAATTCTACTTCTGTATATGTATCCAAAGGAACTACGATCAGTATCCTGAAGAGATATCTGCACACCCATGTTCATTGTAGCATTATTCACAATAGCCAAGATATTAGGGATCAACCTAAATGTCCCTCAAAGGATCAATGGATAAAAAATAAGATGAGTCTACCGCAAGGCTACCCTAAACAAGTCCGATCCCATCTGATCTCGGAAGCTAAGCAGGTTTGGGCCTGGTTAGTTCTTGGATGGGAGACTGACTACCTAGGAAGATCAGGTGCTGTAGGCGTAAAAAAAAAAGGCGGGGGGGATTGTAAGCTGACAAGGTCCTTGCAATCTGTGAGGTCAACCGAGGGTTGCCGCACCTAAAAAAAAAAAAAGATGTGACACACACACAACACACACGGAGGAATATTATTTAGCCACAAAAAAGGGAAATCCTGCCATTTGTGACAACATGAATGAATCTGGAGCACATTATGTTAAGTAGAATAAGCCAGACAGAAAGAAAAATACTGTATGGTATCACTCACTTATATGTGGAATCTAAACAAACAAATAAATCTGATTTCACAGAAACAGAATATAACTGTGGTTGATGGGCTGGGGTTAGGGAGAAATGGGTCAATGAAGGTTGAAGGGTACAAATTTTCTTTTACTCTCATTGTAGTGCTTCTGAACAGGATTTCTCTCTTTTGTGCTCTATAAAACAGAATGCATTTGACACACAATCTTTTTGAATTCTTAAACATTTCCTGTTAACAATCAGCTTAAGAACATGTGGTACAGAAGTCTCTTCTATTGATTCCCTTTCATGTTTCAAATTGTTCCTGAAGGGAAAGACAAAGGCACATGTAGGTAGTGAGTCTTTGAAAACACAAAGATTTTAAGTAAGATTCATCTACTTTTCTGAAAAAGAGCCAGATCTGACAACTCCTGCTCATGTTACCACCTGGGCCAGAATAGTGTTCCTCAGGTAATAGAAGGAAAAGCCTCTAAGACAGACCCTCAGGCTAGTTCTGTTACCACGACATCAGGGCTAGGGATGCAGGAGCCGCCAATAGTGTGGGATGGGGAGAAAATGGAGGGGTAACAATGGAGAAACACTACATGGGTTGACCCTCCATTCCATTTTCTGTCATCCGCTGTCTGGTTACTGATGATCTAGAAATAAATCAGGCCTGGGGTAGGGAGAAAAAGTATGGGAGTTTAATGAGGTTTATTGCACAGAGTTGGCTTCTTTGTCTTTTAAAAGAAGCTGAAAAGTTCATATCCCCAGCCTCCCTTGCAGCTGGCAGGCTCATGTGACATTCTGGCCAATGAGACTTTAGGCAGAAGTTTGCAAGGAGCTTCTGGGCAGACTTTTGTTTTTCTGATTAAAAAACGATGGAAATTATGGCACCTGTCCTTTCCTTTACCCATATGATGCTCAGAGCTCTAAGAGCTCTTTTTCCATTGGCTATGCAGTTTCTCACTCTTAAATATAAACACAGCCAGGGATCACCAGTTTTTGAGAAACACAAAAAGGCCAGAGAAGCTCAGATTAACTTGACTTTTTTTTTTTTAATTGCAAAACTAGTAACCTCCAAACTCTGCTTATTTATGAAAAATAAACTTTCAGATTTTTTGTCATTTTTTTCTGTTGCTTGCAACAAAAACATTCCTAATCGACAGACAGGAATCCTGGACAATAGTTGGTGGAGAAACAAGTGGAAGGAGGAGGTAAAGGAAATGACAAGCAGTGCCAGAGCGGGAGGGGAGGACAATTTCCATGGCAACTTATTAGGCCTAGGTAGCCAGTTACAATATAAAGGGATGCCTTTATTAATTTATATCAGAAGCCAAGCAAAGAATACTAATACAAATATAGCAAAAGTCTACTTTTGGAAAAAAAAAAACCATATGGGAAATGGAATACAAGTTTCCCACATATTTTGAATGGAATGCAGATTCCCACCTAAAATTTTTCATGTATGTTGAAATGTCATAGTTTTGCTGATATTTCCCTAAGGTACCTATGATACACATAAAATTTCTACATTTATTTCACAGGGTATGTGCACATTTCGCAATAAAATGGAAAACAACTCAAATTGCTTCATTTTCTTACAAAACAGAAAGTCTATATTTGTCTGGGTAAGAATCTGATTTGCATCATCACTCACACCCACTTGAACCTGATCTACAGTGGAGCTTCTCAGGCTTCCAGAGTGAAAAAATACTCTCAAACAAAAACAAGCACAAATGTGGCCTTCAGCCTCTAAGGGGAGGTTTATAGAAAATTCACCCTAAGGGAAATCAAGGTGCCTGAGACAGACTGATGGTATAGGCAGGAGATAAAGCTTGGGTGAAATACATGTTTTGTTCTTAAAATATCTTCTTAGTCAATCATTGAGGTCATCAAAGAAGTTGACTTGAAAACTAAACAGGCCAATCTATCCTTTAGGTATTTATTAAAAACAGGTCTCATGGTTAGCTGAAAATCCTCCCTCCTCCTGCAGGAGCGAGAGAGGAAGCAATAGTGGATGAATAGCAAGAGCAGGACAGCCTTAATATCCACCAGGGAGAGTCCCTGAGTACCTGGGAGCCTGTTAAAGGAAGAGTGAAGCAGATTTGGAATCTAGTGAATAAGTTGAGTTGGGGTTTAGAATCAGGAGAGATTTAATTTTCATTGCAGTTACTTATACCCTTGCCTATCCACCCTCATTTGGCAGGCCCAAAGCAGGGGTAACAGAAATGTCACCCACCAACACACACTGGCAACTTAGCAGATCCTCAGAAGCCATAACTCTATAGCTTGTAGTCTAAGAAGTACAGTCTTACAAAAAAAGAATCTAGATCTAATTACTAATATTCCAGCCAAGGGACCATAGCTTGTACACAATTGTGCTTTGCTGTTTTTGAAAAGGCACAAATATCACTGAATGCAGTCTTGAATCTACATCCTAATGCTTGACAGTAACAATAAAATACTGAAATATACCTTTTATTTTTTAAAAAGTTCATTCACAGCTACTTTCATAAATACATCATTATCCAGTTAATACAATCCTGTTTCTATGTTTAGGGAGGATATTTCCAAGGGGCTCCTAGGTGGGCTATCTCACTAACAGTATGGCATGAATAGGACCAATGTCATAAGTCATATACCAGTAAAAGCCAGATAATTTTAAAACGGAATACCTGCTTCTGTGGATTCGGGCTCCATTCGTATACTTGGCAATAGTTATAACTATATGCTGTTGGTTTCAAAATAACAGACCAAGGACTCAGTGTTGTTTACCACAACCACTGGAAAATAATTTGGTCAGTAACACTGTCTTCATTCCCTCATACCTCCAACACAGATTTCCTGAATGCCTACCATGAGCCAGATACTGTTATAGGCACAGGGGAATACAGCAGTGAACAAAACAAACAAAAATACTTGCCATCGTGGAGCTTATTTCCAATTAAGGAATACAAACATCAAGTAAAATATGTAATTTTTTCATTGGTGATAAATACAATGGAGAAAAATAAAGTAGAAAAGAGGATAAGATGGAGACTGTGGTTCAGGCTTCAATTTTCAACAGAGTGGTCAAGGAAAGCCTCACTAAGATGATACTTGAGCAAGGACCTGCGAAGGAGGTGCAAGAGTGCACCACCTGGATATCTGGGGGACACAGAAGTCCAGAAAGAGCAAACGGTGAGTGAAAAGACCTTAAGTCAGAATGCCTGATGGGTCCACAAACAGTAAAGTCAGTTTGGCTGGAGAGGCACAAGTGCAGGAGAAAAGAGTAGGAGGTGAGGTCAGAGGGTAATGATGGAACCAGATCACACAGGGCCTTAAAGGCTATTTTATAAAAGTTTGGATTTAATTCTCAGTGACTCTCAGAGCCATTGGAAAGTTTAGAGCTGAAGAGTGTTGTGATATAACTTACCTTTTAATTGGATCACTCTGGCTACCCCCTTAATGGAAGAAGGACAATGGCAAAAGTAAGAAGACCACTTGGGAAGCTGTTATAATAGTCCAGACAGGAGATGCCTCTGGCTAGGACCAGGGTGATAGCAATGGAACAGTAAGAAGTGGTCAGTGTCCAGACATAGTTTGAAGATAGGTTTTGCTGATGGATTCGATATGAGAGAAAGGAAGCAATTAGGATTATCTTGCCATTAATCAAGACAATGGAAATCTATTAGAAAGAAGTAGTTTCAGAGGGAAGATCAAGGGTTGTTCTGGAAATATTAAATTCAAAACAGAAAAGAAGCCCAAGAAGATTGAACTTGTAGATCTGGAGTTCTGGGGAGCAATGCGGACTAGAAACATAAATTCTGAAGTTGTCAATATATGCGTACCTTACAAAATCACGCCGCTGGATAAAAGAGAACAGAAAGGCTTCGAGGACCTAATCCTGGGTGCTCCGAGATTAATAAATCAGGGACATGAGGAGTGTGTGGGTGTTCAAGCCAAACAAACTAATGTGAGCTTCTCCAAAGTAGGGTCAGATTCTTAAATCCTTTTCTATCTTCAGAGCCTAATACAGTGCATGGAACAATGTGGGCAGCAAACAATCGGGGACAATGCAACAAAAATTTAACAAATGTCTAATTCTGTTCTAACACCAGTCCAGGTACTGGGGAACCAGCAATGAACGAATGTAAATTGCTGACACCTGCATTCTAATAAGCAGGCCAGGGAGGATAACAGGTGGCAAAAATCAAAACTCATTAACGTCGAAATGGCTTTCCCAGGAACTTATAACCTCCAAGCTAACATATTTTTTAAAAGCTAGTATTGAGATTTATCTGGAGACCCTCCCCGGTGGCTATCCTCCCTCCTTGAACTAGAGCCAGGCTAATGCAAACGCTTCGTTTCCAAACGGTTTTTCCGGCTTCCAGTGCCATAAATCAGGGTCCTGGAGTCCAGAGGGCGAGACTAAACTGCCAGTGAGAGACGATGGTGGCCTTATCTGAGCCGCCGACTCTCTCCCCTGGGCCCCGGACCTCTTCTCCCGGATCACCCGCCCTGGGCCCGGCAGCCTCACCCCACAGTCCATCCGTCTGCCTGTGGCTCTGTGCAGCAGCAGGAGGGCCGGTTTCCATGGAACTAACACAGCGCTTTAAACGAAGCCGCTCCCCGGCGCGGTATCGCCCATAGGCAGGCGTACCCGTAGCAGGGCATGCCGGGAATTGCAGTTTTCCTGGCCCAGGAGGGCCCTCCGCCCCGGGCGGGACCCAGACCGGAATCCAGCGGCGCGCACGGAACGCGCAGCCCCGGAAGCCGGATGACGACAGGGCTCCATTGTGCTCGCGAGCGGGGCACGCTGGGATATGTAGTTTCCTTCTGCTCAATATCTCCGAGGTCTTGTTCTGTCCAGTCTTGCAGTGACTCGTTTCGTCCCTATGAACTTGCGATGTTTAGAGAATTCGGCAAACACATACTCTGAAGGAGGCGAGTGTCCAAGATTAGAATTTTTTTTTTTAGTTTTATGAGGACTAAAGTATCAAATTACTTCTGAACGGAAAATAACCAATTGGTTAATGAGCATAAAAAACGGTAAAGTACAGAGTTCAAATATTCTTCTCGTTAAAGTAAAAAGCAAGCCCCACTTCGTCCTCACCCATGATGGCCAGACGGAGAGTAAAACACATGGAACCTGCTCTTCTGTCGTGTGTTTCTTCAGGATAATTTATTTCTTGCCTTGTCTACAGGTAAGTGAATAGATATTTCTAAATCTGACTGTAAGTAGCTAAGAAACGAGAAAGACCATTGAAAATAAAACTGCAGTCATTTCTTAGTTGTTTTGCTCTGAGTGAGAATTCATCCTTAACAAGAAGGCTTCTGCAGTGAAAAGACAACGCGACTTAGCTGGACAGAGCACCTTGTTACCACAGCCAGGACAATGCATTCCTCTCGTCTCCCTGGGGCCGTAGCTGAGAATAACTTCAGCTCTCAAATTAATGCTCTCAGATCCGAGACAAGTCCTCATTTACTTAGCAAATGGCTGACTGAATCGATCTGGTTATTCTTATTCTTCTCATAGCTGAGCCTCAACCTGAGATAGATAAAAATGTCAATCAAACCACAGCTGCAAGATGTATTCATCAAACTGAGCCCATCTGGTGAAAGAAATGAGCACCACATACATTATTCAGATGAAGGGACCAAATAAAGCTTTTAATATGAAAAATAGGAGGGTATTTTTGAGCGTCAATGAAAAGAGCCAATTATTCTCTATGTACATTTTCTCTTGCAATGACCTCTGATTTATCTGTAGAGATGAGAGATATGTGTATACACTCCACAGATAATCCAGACACTTCAACGTAATGAGAATTTTCACCTTCTTGAATCTCCATATTAAGCAGCAGTCAGGGAAGCAAATTGATTAAATTTAATGTTTTTCATTTCTTTTTCTATGTCTACCATCTGGCAAACCATATAAGAACTTAAGCAATTACAGAGTTAGAGAAAAAGAATCTGAAGTTTTTGATAAACTAATTCATCTGCTAGAGAACCAGTCTGAATACCTGAGAATTCATTATATTAAAAGTATATTTTTATTCTTTTAAGTGCCTGATTTTTTCCTGATTTCCCTCTTGATTTTCCATTAATAAATATGTTTCATACTTGTTGACCCTATCCAAAAAACAGTTGTGGAAATCCTAGGGATTCCATGAGGACCACATCCTCTCACTACAATACTATATAGCCTTCTAACTGGTTTTCCAGTCACCCTTCCCAATGCATCCTTCATATTGCTACTGAAATGATCTTTCAAAAAGTAAATCTGATTCTCAGTCTCTTGCTTAAAAAGCATTTAAAAGTTTCTCCTTTTTTAAACTAGCAGTTTTCCATTGAACAGGATGATGCCCAGACTGCTAATGGCTTTAGCCTACTTCACCAGCCTCATATACACCTGGTCCCTCAAGGGAACTTTGAATTCAATTCTCCTGTGCTTGGAGACTCTGTGCCCTCTGCCAGGCACTCCGTTTTGTCAGTCTGGTGAACTCAACAGAAAAGTAACCTTTTTTGTGAAACCATTTTATTCTACTTATTGTTCTGCATTATAATTTTCAGTGTGTCATCTCCCCTTAATTAGGCTTTCAGCTATTTGAGGGCAGGAGTTTTCTTTTTATTTTGATCTTTTTATTTTCAACACCAAACAATGTCTGGCGCACAGTAGAGGCTTGGTAAGTCTTTGTTAAGTGAGTGAATTAATGAATAAATTTTAAACACTTCTACCTACGGTGGTTATGTCTCACTCCCTTGACTATTTATATATTCTTATTGTAGGCCTGCAAAAGGCATCTGTTTACTTCCAGAGCTGGAAATGATTTGACTTTGCAAATACACAGATGACAGCAAAGCTACCTACAACTACTTCCCCTTGGAATTGGAACAGTATTCTGTGGATAAAAAAAAGGCAAACACAAAAAAATTCACTTTCATATCCTGTTGGTACAATGGAGGAATGAGAATGGCAAACTCACTAACTGGTTCTTCACCTTATGTGGACAGTCAGACCTTTTGGTAAGTATTGGTTCTGAGTGTAGAGATTAGAATTTCGAGGAGTCTGACTTTTTAATGAACTGATAAATCATCCCACGTCTACGAAGATTAATCTGTTAGTTGAATCAGTCTAGGGTAACAGTGCTTCTTCTAAGATCTCAGGTACTTAGGTTCTCCAACTAAATTACGTATTAAAGTAGATGCTCACATTTTTCTACTGACCAAACTTAAGAATAAGGTCAAAGTTATGGCGGTGTTGCTGCAGCTCTATTTTACAGTTCTTAAGATTACTCTTTTTGTCATAATAGGATGATACATAATCGGGAAGAAATGTGAGTGTTCTCTTTAAATTGGCTCACACAGTTCAGTTGCCTGATATTTTTGAAATTTTCTGATTGAATAATAACAACAGTGTGTTTAGTCTGTTGAATCTATCATCTATTGTAGTGGTCCCCACCCATTTTAGCACCAGGGACCAGTGCTCCTGTGAGAATATAATGCCTGATGACCTGAGGTGGAGCTGAGGCAGTGATGCTAGCGCTAGGGAGCAGCCGTAAGTACAAATGAAGCTTTGCTCGCTTGCTTGCTTGGTTGCTTGCTCGCTCGCTGGCCTGCTAGCTGTCACTCACCTCCTGATGTGCGGCCAGGTTTCTAACAGGCCACAGACCAGTTCTGGTCCATGGCCCAGTCCTTGGAGGTTGAAGACCCCTGATCTTTTGAATTGGGTGTTTTATATATATTGCCTCACTTGAATCTAGCCGTAACCTTAAGATGTAGTAGTTATATTTCCATTTTACTAACAAGACAACTGAGGTTTGGAGAAGTTAACTCGCCTGGAGCTGTATAACCAGTAAGTGATGTAACTATTGTTTGGACTTGAGTCTTTCTGTCATCAAAGCCCACACTTTTCAATTTGATTCCATCTTCTACCCATTCTCCATTCCATTCTAACAACAATGTGTAGACAGAAATTTCATTTTCTAAGTATGAGATGAGAAATACTCCACAGGATGGATACCATATGTTTATAAACGCAAATGAGACAATATAGGTGGTTGTCTGTGGGTGTATATGCAAAAATCCTGTTTCTCCTTAAACTTTCATCCACTAATGTTAGCTGGTTTATCTTGCCAGCAGCAGTGATTATGGTGATTTTCTATTTTCCTCATTTATTAATTAGAATTATTTTGTAAAGAGGTGCTACCTCTCATTTTCTGCAGTGTATCTACATGTTTGTTCAACCCTAGTGCACATGTAAAGTAGTTTTAAAAATTGCTAATCCACACCTGATGAGAAACAAATTTAAAACTAGAGTATATTGCTTGGGCACAGTTCTTTTTGTCTTTAGCCTCACAGTACCCAGTCAAAATGCTGTTTTCCAAAGTTACTTAGGTCACTCCTTTCTTGACCTGCTTCAGTGTGGCTATTTGATTTATTTTTAATATAGTTTGATATTCATATGTCACAGTATGCATTCTATCTTGTGTTCTGCCCACATCCTGATTGATTTTATTTAATTTACATATGGTAAAATTCACTTTTTGTGATGTACAGTTCTATGGGTTTTGACAAATTATTAGAGTCTTACATCTCCCAGTACACTTGTATACAGAACAGTTTCATTACATTCAGAATATCAAATTTCAAGATGATTCTCCTTTATAGTCAACCCCTTCCCCTACCTTTCAGCTGCTGACAATGACTGATATGTTTTCCATATCTATAATTTTGCTTTTCTAAAGTGTCATATTAGTGGATTCATACCCTTTTAGGTTTGACCTCTTTCATTTAGCAAATGTATTTTAAGATTCATCCATGTTGTTGCGTGAGTCAGTAATTCATTTTTGTAGCTGACTGACATTCTGCTGTATGGATATATCACAGTTTACTTATTCATTCACTGGTTGAGGGACATATGGGTGGTTGCCACCTTTCAGCGATTATTAACAAAGCTACTATAACCATTTGCATAGAGGCTTTTGTATAAAAATAAAATTTTTATTTCTCTTGGATAAATACCTAGGAGTGGGATTGCTTTATTATATAGTAGGTGCATGTTTAAATTTGTAAGAAACTGCCAAATTGCTTATCCAAGTGGTTCTACCATCTTGCATATCCATCAGCAATGTATGACATTCCCTGTTCCTTCTCATCCTTGATAGCATTTGCACTTGATAGCATCAAATTTTTTTTTTTTTAGCCATTCTAGTAAGAGTGTAGTGGTATCTTGTTGGGTATAATTTTCAACTCTTTAATGACCAATGATGTTGAACATATTTTCATATGCCTATTTGACATGTATATGTCTTTTAAAATAGAGGTCTATTCATAACTTTAGCCCATTTTTAAAACTTAGGTGGTTTAATTTCTTCCTCATGAATTTTTCGAGATACAAGCCTGCTTTCAAAATGTGATTTGACAACATTTTCTCAGTCTGTGGCTGTCATTTCATTCTCTTCTCAATAAATTGCCGTTTGCAGAGCAAAAGTGTTAAGTTTTGAT